AATTATTTGGATTTAAAAAAGTTTTAACACTTCAAGTAAAACTATTTTCTTATGGAAAAAAATACCTCACTATGAATATATTTAGACTCTTTTAATTTTATTTACTTAGAAATCACAATACACATTCGCTAAATAACTTTTTGTTTGTAAATAAACTTATTTACCACTTATACATTTATTATAAAATACATTCTTTTTAATGTACATTCTTTTCTTTATTGTAAGTACATTCTTCCTTGAGTAGAATTTTTTTTCAGTGCCCGCTATTTCGATTTCGCTTTTTTCCGCGATTGTTTTTTGCGCCGCCCGGTGAGTCCTGGCAAGCGTCCTTGGGGTAGAAGAAACCGTCGACAAGGGGCTGCGGCAAGCGGCAACCTCAATTAGGGGTTGTCATCCGGCCGGATCTCGATAAAGGAGTCGCTGACATACTGTGACATTGTGACGTCACAATCACAATGTGATTCACCGCTTTGTGATTTCCCAGATATTTGCATTCAGCCAATGCCCAAAATGCCCAGGTGTTTGGAGGCAGGACTCGACGCCTTCCAGTCAGCGAGCGCCTTTGTCCTCCGCTTGACTGGCCACAAAAGGATCCCTCTTCATCGACGGGCAACGCCTCGAAATGGGTGTGCGTGTTTTGCCCCGTGGGTAGAGCCATGGGTTAAACCTAGATTATGTGGGCATATTATTATTATTGATTGCTGGCGGGGATCACGAAAATATTAAACGATTAAGCTTGCTAAGATCCATGAGAAATTCAATGGCTTTGATTTCGGAAGCAAGAATTTAAGGGTATATTAAATCGGGATTTCAAGTTTTTAAGTTTGTTAATTCATATTGAATTTACATATTATGTGCATTATTAGACGTATAGGTTAATTTAGAGTCATCCGTCAAGCTGGAGATCAGCCAAAACTGTCATCGATCTTTCTCCGATTTTCTCCGCGAAAAGAAAAAAACTGTCAAACGGCAGCTCCGTCGGCGAGTTGTTAATCAGCCGAATCAAAAGTGTGCCAGCCATTTAGACATTGTAGTCGGCTCAAGGATTTTGACAGCTAAGCTGACATGCAGAAAAGCGAGGGGCCGGCCAAGAAACGAATCCATAAGTCAGCCGGAGATGCAGGGAACACATGTCGGGTGTCTCGCAGTTCCACGAGTACGAGTGTATGACTGGCAACCAGGTGAATATGCCAAACTCAAGCCCAGTGCTCAAAATGCAATGAAACAATCAATCAAAGCGCTGAAAGAGGCTTGTCGAGCAGATCGGAGCACCGAGTGTATGGCAATGGGAGCCTCAAGAGCCATAGAGCTTTATGGCTATATATGTGGCTATAGTAATGGGCCTGGCCGCCCGTCTAACGGTGGAACTGCGCACAAAAGGCACAAAATCAAATTACCAGCAATGATTAATCAATCAGCACGGGCACAGTGATTTTCTGAAATACAGAAAACGAATATCGGACTTAAGCATCCGATTCCCATATGTGAATGCTGGCGTTACACTCCTGAAAATTATGCATTAAATAAAACTAAATTTAACCGAAAGTCCCGATATTAATTTTAATGTTTGGAATCAAATATTAGGGAAGTAGAAATAAAAAGGAAAGGGTAAAGGGTATTGAGTATTACTGCTTCACTTATTCATCAATCATGAGTCATGGATTCTAATATGGTTTGCTTAATAAATATTTATATGTAATTTGATAATACACCATAACAAAATTATAAAATCATCAAAACTATTTCAAGCTTACACATTTTTTGCTTGGTGTGGTCATAAAGCCACCGCATGAACACGATCTTTGCCGCTGGCCTCGTCTGGAGACCCGCTGATTGTGGGTGTATGTGCGAGTGTGTGTGACGGCCAAGTGGGTGCGTTCTCACAGCTGGATGCCCGGCGTCCAAATCGGAGTCCAAGTCCGATGGCAGCCCAACTGCCAGCAATCACGATCCAGGTCCAGAGCTGAGGCTAAAGATACGGCAGCACACACCTGCGAACTCTCACTGCCCACAGTCCCCTGGGCACTCCTCAACTCCCCAACTCCCCAACTCACATGCCACAAACACAACAACAAACAACAAAGCCCCCATCCCATATGCCATATTCCATGCCACATCGTATCCACGTGTGCGTTCTGCCCGCCGTCTGGCAATTGGCAATGCCCGATGGCCAATACCAATACCAATACCAGTACAAATACCAACACCAATGCCAAATGCAACTCCAAACCAATGCTCCTAGTCGCGGGCTCCTTGCGGCGGCTTCTTCCCAAAAAGGTTTTCTGCTCAGCGATCGTGCCAAAAATGGGTTTGCAACTGGAATTCGCTTTTAGCCAAGCAACATACTCGAACGTGTGGGGACCAGGTCCAGCAACTGAGATTCAGCTCCAATTGATGCACTAAAAAAAGGGAACTGCTTACTTTAAAAAGAAGATTCCAACATGTTCTGAAAAAGTTCAGTATATATATTAAAGAAAATATAACTTATTTGTTTCTACTCTTCTCCAGAATTTTTATTCTGATTTTAAACAGCTCTGTAAATTTTAGTTTCTACAAGTGTAAGACCTCTGGAAGATCTGCTAAACTCCCAACTGCAGGTGGCGATTGGCCAAGACCAAAGCGAGATCGAAAGACCAGCTGGTGCGAACAGCTAGAAAGTTTTAGTGCCGGAATACCCTGGACAACACCATGCCCCCCAACTCATCCCACCATCATCTGGTCCTCTGAGATCGTGAGAATCAGTGCGGCGGCGCGAAATTTATTTGTGTGCCGGCCAAAACAAATGCCGCGTGATTTCAATTTATGGCCATCTAATGAAAATTTGACAAATAGCAAATGGGCAAGCTCTGGGTTCGGGGCCAATAACATACATCATGATCATGATCACTGGCGAAAAAGGCACTTCCGTCAATTGATTGAAGTGCCTGGGCCTGGATGCAGATGCATAGAGTCCCGATCCCGAGGAAATCGCAGATCTCGAGCAGTCTGTCAAAGTCCCCGCATCAAGTTGCTGGCTGCTCCGATTTATGTCTGCCCGATGGAGTCAAAGTCGTGACCCGCGAACATTGAACTCCCAGTAAACCGATCTTGTGGAGCTCCAATAATGCGGATTCGACTTGATGCTTCCACTGAAGAAAACCGATATCAGCGTTAACAAGCTCTGTTTAATCGCATATAATTATAACAGTTTCCCATTTCAATATTTTAATTGCTACACAAACTTTAGATTTATGGTCTATGGCTTTTTATAGCCTTGTTTGTGAGGTGTTTTGTTCTGCTTATTGCTGATATTGCAGCCACATTGTAATTTAATTACGCAATAAAATAAAAGATAATTTGTTATTATCTAATTCATATTGCATGAAGGAGATTTAAATGTATATAAGACTATAACCTTCTTGAGTGATGTTGACTTTTTCCTTCAGTGTTCCGGTGAACCATAAAACCCTAAAAGAACAATTTACTGGTCGATTGTTTTGGCTATCTCACCTTGGCTTCCACAGTGCAACAAGCTGCGGGTCTTGAGATTTTTTGGGCCCAAAGGCAGCGCCACACATTTAAGCGAAATGAATTTGAGGTACGCCTGCACGAAGTGCAATTTTCAGGCAGTCAGCAGTCAGAAAGTGGTATTACTGTGGGAGCTGTTCAGCATAATGAAGCCATTGCCATGGGCAGACCACTAAATAAAACCCAAAGAGACCCCGCACCATTGTCAATCATATTCGAGACTTGATTTTCCCACAAGTTATGCCCCGCTGATCGCGTTTTGGTCCGACTCCTCATGGGAAAATCAGTGAGTGTTTGGCTTCGCCTAGTTGCGCAACAATTATTTGACTCTGGTTTCGAGCCCTCCACAATAGACCCTATTGAGGTCCGAAACACCTTCTACAAGTTTGCGCTCCGCTGAACCCCCTCTTAAAGCGGAATGGAAAAACCAGCCAAGTCACTTTCTGGGGTTGGAATGCTACTACTTACTACTGTTTTTTTAGCCTTTCACGGTTATTATCTAGTCCAGAACGGAAGTGCTCGTCTCCAGATCTTCTGGCCAACATTTTCACACATTCAACTGAGTGCGCAGGTGTTTCGGGGAAAACATGCCAAAACAAAATATTCGATTCCAATATGCGCGTATGTAAATTTTGTTTTTTCTTATAGCGGAAATTAAACCGATCGGAAGTTAGATAGATACGCTTGATTGGATTGCAAATGAAAATTGTGTTTCAGATAGATTTATTGACTTACCTAGTTAAAAAGAACAAACTGTAAAACGTATATCATTCGAATATTAGAAATATTGGAATAACTTTTCCTAGATTAATCGGAAACCCAACAAATTTAGAATTAATAATTTTATTTTGCAACTGCACAAATTTTTTACATGAACTTAAAATGTCTTAAAGCGACACCTAGCGTCGGATATCAGAACTTGCGTAGTCAAGTTATATGCCGGCAGATGGCAGCAGGTGGTGATTTTGATATTTAAATACCTACTAAGTCGTAGGGGATATTGGGAAAATCTGAAGAATAAAGACAAATCATTGATATTTAGACTGTATTCGATTAGTTTTGTTGAACAACTTTAATTTATTTAAAGTCTTAAACAACTATTTATGAGTGCAAGCTAACAATGTGCTGACCTATCAAAAGAAGACTTGTAAAATTTTTATCGGGGTATAAAAATATATTCATATATGTTTATAATTTCATAATAATAAGAGTAATAGATGTTTTCCCGACAGTGTTTCCATAAAAATTGGTAACAAACTGCTCATGGTTCACAAGACACAGAATGGCAGCGTTTTTTAATCTTTAAGGTCTGATGTGCTTGAATAACTAATTTATGTACAAAAACAATAAAGAGTCCTTATCCTGTTATTTTTTAAGTCAAGCCTAAGTAATCTCTCGGACGATAGTTTTTCAAATCCAAAATACCATCTCCGATTTGTGCTACCCAAACGATACTAATCGATATAAACAAAACGTAACCAGCTGCTTGGATCATGATACCTTCCCCCGCGATAACAACAGCCTCGCCGTCAAAAAAATGCGAAGCCTAGGAGATAGTACATTTTCGTCATCCATTGAAGGTTGTAACTGTAAACAATGGACGTTAAATGTAAGCAAATAACTCAAATATAAACCGAAATTAACAATCGAATTTATACCAATCCAGGCGAGGACAGGAAGTGGAATGCAGCAAACACCCGCATGTTGCTTTCCCTTTACAAAGAGCGCCAGGCCGATTTTCGGGATCCGAATAAAAAGATCAAAAACGTCTGGGGGGAATTAGTGGTGGCCTTGGAACATCTTGGAATAACAGATATCGACGCCGTTCAGCTGGACCGAAAATTTAGGAACTTGAAAAAAACCTACTACTGCATAAGGGACAAGCATCTGGCGAAAGGACCTGATTTCCATCCCAACTGGCAGTTCTACGACGAAATGACGGAGATTCTGAAGGATGACCCCATAACGTCGCAGATCCTGACCATGGACCACTACTCCGCGATGAGCACGTTCCTGAGCGACGACTATCCATCGAATGAGGCGGTAGAAGATGTGCAACACGGCATTATGGTATCCATCGGCTCTGTGCAGACAGTCCTAACCCCGCGGGTTCGTCGCAATCGCAAACGAAAGTCGGAGGAAGCCAGCCAGGTTGGAATGCAGGAAACTCGGAAAGGCTACAAGGAACGGGCAAAACCGGCGAGGGAAGTAGACCACATCCCGGTCTTCAATGCGGCAGAGCCCCAAATCATCGATCTGGCGACCAATGATAAGGATGAGCTATCAATAGGCAGCACCGAGGAAGCCTTGAAGCATGTGAGAGCACTGCTGGAGTACGCCATGCTCAAGGACAACTTCCGGGCCATCGGTCTCCTAACGCAAGCAGAGCAAGCCATCCAGTTTCCGCCCAAAAGCGACGATTTCGAAATATAACAAACATAGTGAAAACATCATAAACATAGCTAGTATACTAAAAAAAAAATGTAATTATTTCAAAGGATAAAAATATTATTTAACAAGATTTTGTTCTCCTCTTATTATTTTTGGAAAATTTAAATTGGTATTGAAAAGTAGTTTAATTTGATTGCAAATCGGTGGTTTCTGTATTGGCTTTAATCAATTTCGCCAGTCTGGCACCGCTTTTGATAACGTATGGCAACACAGCTAAACACTAGTATCTAATAAATTTAATAAATATGCAAAACAATGTGCATAGCTGTGCACATACACATTAAAAAAAAAAAAAAACATGCTTCCAGTAAGCGCCACCGGTATATTGCTATAACATATGCTTTAAAACATTGGTTTGAATACAAACTATCACAAAACAGGATGGCAATACTATTTTTAACGAACGTCAGCTCTAAGCTCATCGGTTGCAAGGCAATTTTAAAATAAATTTAAATTTATTATGGAGCATAGTTAATAAAAAGTGCTTAACAGTTAAGTGTAAAAAAACATCGAATCTACATATAATTTATAAAATCATATTGGATAAAACGGACTGGCAACACCAATAGATCAGTCTGGCAATATTAAACGCACGATACGACAGCCCTAAAAACACATTGGACAAACTCTATTTTAATCGTCGGCCTAATGGAGAAGAAAGCTAATATAGCGGACAGCTTGCAAACAAGGCTATTTGCTTTGGGACCTGCTCCACCAGGATTTCAGCCCCCAAATGCCAGCTTCTTTGCATCCCTGGAGGCGCATCTTCGCAAAGCCATTCGCTTTCTCATAGACACGAACCGCCAGCTCCAAATTCTGCGTAAAAGTCTTCAGACGGAAAAAAATCGGAAGAAACGCCAGACTTACAAGGAGAAGATGGCGATGTTTGCCAAGGAACAATTACGAGCCGAGCAACTCATCCTTAAGTACCGGTCTAGGCTGATGGAGCTGCAGGAAGCCGAAATATCAAAGGTTACCAAGCACCTCGAACAAATGGATAAGGTCCTAGGACAGGTTAACATTCGCCTGGGCTACCTGAGGACCAAAATCAAGGCGGAAACAGATCCTAAACGACGCGAGATCCACGTATGCAACTCCTTCTTTCTGGTGCGGGAACAGCACAAGACCAAGGGTCTTTGCGAGCGGTGGAGAGATCGCCTCGGTCAGCTGACGAGGGCCAGGATCAGGAAGGAAAAACCAATGAGTGTTAGGATTCCAAATTCGGCACCTGTAAGAAATCTTGAGAAAGCAATTTTACTTGGGATATAATAGCTTGGATAATTGGCTGAAATGACAGTTTCCCATATTTTCAGAAACCTCAGGAAAAGCCAACAGCTGATGCGCAAAAGCCAAAAGAAGTTTCGGGTTTGGAAGCATCCGTGAGTAGAAGCAAACTAAACTCATTGGCACGGTTCAAAGTAGATTTTTATTTTAATAATTCACAATCGTATTCTAGGAACCGAAGGCTGACCAAAAAGAAATGATAGAGACTGGCTGCCAAAGGTGTGCAGCTCTGGTAAAAGAAAGCAAACCAGGTCAGCCTAAGATTTGTAGTATATGTAGCAAATGGTCTAAAGACAACAACACTACCAAACCGAAAGTAACAATTTATTCAAAGGAAGTGTCACAATCCTTTCCTATAACATCAAAAGAAGAGCAGTTAAACAAATCTAATGTGAGTAAGAATTCCAGCTTAAGTGAATCAACAATAACACGAAAAGAAGCTAGCTTCGGCAAGCCGAAGCTTTTATACCCTTGCAGTCATCAAATATGTCGAACAAAATACATAGAGACTAAACAACATCGAAGCTATGACGATTTTCTATTATTTTTCCATATTTTTGTCTATTGTCAATATGACAGCTGTATGATATAGTCGTCCGATTTTGATAACACGTTTAAAAGGAATAACTACTTCATCACTCTGACAAACCCAAGCTACCATAGCATTTTCACTCAATTGACTTAATTTTTTTTCACATATTATGCAAACCTTAGTGTTCTCTGTTCAGTTCTGTGTTCCCTGAAGTTGTGAAAAAAATAACTTTTTTTTTTTTAATTTCAACATCAGGCATTTGTCTTTAAGGGGGTAAGTTGAACTGTGTAAATGATGTGGACCGTGCATTTGAGGTTAAAATCAGCACTCTGTCCATAGTCCAAAATGCCTAGAAGAAGACGTTCGAACCTCAGTAAATACACAAGACAAGCACGCCAGCGAAAACTGCAGAGAAAAAGGGAAAGGGAAAAAGGAAAAAGGGTAGCAAGTGAGGTGGGCTTGGAAGTGCATATTAAGTAACTTAAAATATTATAAATACAATTTCAGCCGGAAAAACTTACCGAGATAGAGAAAAAGGAAAAAGGGGCCAATTCTAAGGCCTCTGTTAATGAGGATTGGGTTAGCACTCTGATTAAATACTTCAAAACCCTTAAAAATCATATGTATTTCTCTTTAGGTTGTACCCATGATCCTTGATGTTAGGTCTGAAACAATGACTGCAGTTAAAGTGAGTAGATATAACTCACAACTTTAATTCTAAATAACATTAAGATTGATTCATTGTTACCAGGAGGAGCCAACTACGAGTAAAGACTTGATTGCCTTCCAAGAAGTTGCTGCGAATAAAGACTTGATTGACTCCAAAACAGTATCATCTATACAGAATTCATTAAAATCCATCGACAGTAAAAATATGGCTCTGGCACACGTAAAGATTTTACAGGAGTACGCCATGCTAAATGATAACTTTAGGGCCATCGGACTCCTTACTGAGGTTGAAAAATCAATCCTAAATCCTCCTCAAAACGAAGATTTTGATCTTTGAATTCTGTAAATACTGAATATTTTGAATAAATTTTAAATTTATGAATGGTTTATTGGTTCCTAACAAAATTTTATTGTTACCTGTTGAATAACATTTACATTTTTTTTAAATTATTAAGACATTTATTTGAACAGTCTATATTCTGAATAATATGAATGCACCATCTAAGGAAATAGCAATGAAATGAATTTGTGAGTTTGTAGGCGAAAATGCAAACCGAAACGCTGCTGATAAGGATTATCTACGAACTTGTGTTTTTGGCCACACTTATTTGTCACTAAACTTTCTCTTTTGGTCTTAAGATTAGTAAATTATAGTTTGTCGGTAAGCTGGCTAGTAAAAACATAATTAATTATTATTTACCAAGAAATCAATTACATACTTTAGTTACTGAGGCATGCAAAATGGAACACTATCCAAGAAAACCTTTGGTAAAGGCGCTTAACAAGGCACTCGAGACTTGCTTCGATGAAAACAATCTGTTCTTGAAAACAAGTAATTTATACACAATTCAAATAGAAATATACAAATCGGAACTCAGGGTAGTTATTTATGAGAAGAACACAACTCAGTTCCAAAAGGAAATCGATTGGCAGACCCAAAAGCAAATTTCGGATCTAAACGAAAAAGTTGCTAATATAAAAAGTGAAGCTGCTATCGCTTACGCTAAATTAATTGATAAGAAAAAGAAAGTGGAATCGACTCTTGCGGAACAAATAGCGCAACTGGAATCTGTTTCCTTGGAGAACTTAAAACAGCTAAAAAAGAATGAAAGGTCGATCATTGACGTTAAGGGTAAGGAGACTATTTACAAACGGAAAATATCGACCCTAATGAAACAAATTACTGAGCTGGAGTACTCAAACCTGGTCGAGACGGAATCGTTGAAAACAGAGCACAATCGGCAACTGTCGGCGATGGGGAAAACTGTTTATATTTTGCTTTTCTGCGTAGTTACTGGTGTTGTTGTTATACCATTTTTAATAGACCAATATGTTTCTACACCCTTGCTAAAATTATTTTAACTTCAATCATCTCCGACCCTATACAAACATGATCAGCATCACCATCTGAATTTGTTTTGATTTCTCCTAGAGACAAGGGAGTCCAATTAGACTTTTAAACGTATTTTTCACCTGGGCAAGACATTTAAAATAAATCACACTTAAAAGCATTCGAATTAAATTGACCTGCAAGTTTATTTGAAACCAGTTCTCATTCAGATAAGAGTGATAATGCGGTTTGTATATTTTGGCATGGAAAACCAGTTATAGCTGCTTTGGCGAGAGATCGCGAGAGTATTTACTCTCGATCCGCCTAAAAATAATACCCAGGCAGGTGCACAAAGAAATAGCTTCGATCGGGAGAAAGTTCTGCAGAGAAAGAGAGCATTTGCCGCCGTCTGAAAATTGAGAAATTTCATAAAGACTCGTCGAACGGGTTTCTCTTTCTCCGCGGAGCTCAAGAGAGACATTTCGCTCGTGTTTTTTAGTAACATGTACATAGCGGTTTAGTCTCTTTCTCGCACTCAACCGATCTGGAAACGTTATTCCGCCGATTTAGTGTGTTTTATGTGCCTAAAACCCTGCTGCAAATTTGTGTTAAACCAGTTTGTGTGTTTTAACCGGAGTGACTAAGAGGTATGTAAACTATAATGCAATGTTATAGTATAAATAGTTTAGTATAGCATAACTTTTATGTGCAGACATTTTCATTTGAACGGAGAGCCCTTGAAAAGAGAGCCAAGAGGAGCGGGACCAAATACCAATCTTTATCTGTATGGGTGAGAGTGGAAATGTACTCTGACGTAAGTACTTTTACAGTGAGTAGCTGAGAGGGCAACGCTTCGATACCTCGATACCTTTGTTTGTTTTTAAAATTCATATGTTGGTTAATGAGATACCCTTTAAAAATTTAAACTGATATAATCTAAAAAGGTAACTTTAAAAAGACTTTTTTTTTTGTGGTACCCCCTTCTTGGAATAGCTTTTAAAGAGCCCATCGAAACTGACCACAGACCAATTGCAGAATGACGACGGCCAGGAAAACTCGAATGGGATGCAGCGCATCCGGAACGTATTGACTCTGGAGGAGCGGGTGGCAGCCATCCGGCAGTACGACATTGTGCCCATGTACAGCAAGATTGCGCGGAACTTCAACTGTAGCTGGGAGCAGATCAAGAGCATTGTGTCCAATCGCGAGGCCATCCTGGAGTTCCACGAGGCCACCAACCGCCTGAGCCAGCCGGCCAACAAGGATGGCGAGCTGCGCCGGCGCAAGCTGAACTTCCTGGGCCACTGCCTGTACGAGTACATCCAGAGGGCCCAGTTCTACCTGCACAGCGATGTCAACGAGGAGATGATCCGCAACCGGGCCATAGAGTTTCGCGACCTCATGCGCATCGAGGGCTTTGTCCCAAACAAGCCATGGATCAACCACTTCAAGGCCGCCTACAATATAACCCTGTCGAATCGTCAGATCACGATAACCCGTCGACCGCCGCGATCAATGGACCTGCGGGACATAATGTCCTACTGCGGGCGCCACACCTCGATGGCCTGCAGTCTGGTGCCCAGGTCGCCGGAACCCGCTCCCACGACCAGCGACCAGCGGGCCATCGATCGACCCCTGTACCGCACCAAGACCCTGGTCACCACGTCCTGCCAGAACCAAGCCACCTCGGATGAGGTGCACCTGCGGCGCAAGCGGAAGATCACCTTCCTGGAGAAGTGCCTCTACGAGTACATCCAGCGATCCCAGCTGCACCACAAGGGCCGGCTCGATCTGGACAACCTGCGAACGGTGGCCATCAGCCTCAGGGACATCCTGAAGATCGAGTCCTTCTTCCCAGACAAAGTGTGGTTCAATCACTTCAAGAGCCGCTACAACTTCACCTTTTCGGTTGGGGTGCCGGTGACCAATCGCCGGGTGCCGCTCTCCCTGGACCTCCGGGATATAGTTAGCTACTGTGGCCGGAATGAGCACAAGATCACCCTGGCCCACAATAAGACGCAGGATAAGCTGAAAGCTGGCCAGGAGCACTGCCCGGTGGCGGAACCAAAGCCGGAGGAACCCGAGGAGCCCGAGGACGATGACGACTGCGTGGCCATTGAAGTGCCGCAGGAACTTATAGAAATTAAGGATGACGAGGACGAATCGGAGGAGGAGAATCCGCCGGAGGGGCCAGCCAAACGAAAGCTGGAGGAGGACGATCCATTGCACTGTGGCCTCAAGATACAGAAGATTCAATCGCTCTGTGGCACACTGCCCGATGACATGGAATTGCCACAAGTCCACAGTCCGGGTCACTATTCCGAGACGAGCGACGAAGCGCATCTGCCGCGTTGCGTAGAGAGCTACAAGGACGCACTGCGTCTGCTGAAGCCCCTGGAGGAATTCGCATTAATGGAGGAGAACTACCGCGCCATCGGGCTGCTCACCCAGCTGGAGAAGATCTTTGAGACTGGTGCAAAAAAGAACCAAGAAAAGGACCAATCTTCCTAAGAAAAAGTCTGGACCAAATACTTGTGCCTTAAGTTTAACTTAGATATGCTAAGCTACATCATACCAAGAAAGTAACCCTATTAAAGGGTATAAACATGAATTCCTTTAGTTATGTCAGGTAACATATTTTAATCTTAACAACACAGTAAGTGCATGAAGTGTCCAATCACAAATAAATAATAAGAACTAAAAGAAAGTTAATAAAAAATGAAGTGATAAACAGTTATGGTTGAACATTAAGTTTCATGAGTCTTTAGAAATGTTGCAGGATTCAATAATCTTTTATAGTTTATCATTTATAATGCGCCTGAATTTCTAATGCATACTTCACATAAGAAGCTTTCAGATGCTTTACTTGGTCTTTGACCAGAATATCTGTTTCCCTGGAATTTTTTCACTCTTTCCAGCGAGAAACACAATCAACGCTAAACTACTTTCGTCCTCTAAAACTGTACGCGTCCTGTCCGCCGAGGGATGTAGGATGTGGAATGAGATGGAGCGGGTCCGAATGACCTGCAGCGAAGTTGAAGTTGAACGTGCGTGGAACAGAGGCTCCGGAAGTGGGCAGAGGGAAGGGAGCGGCGCCCCGTAGGTGCTACATCAATTCTAGATGGGTAGTACAGCCGGAGGTGGAGTGGCGAAGGATGAAGGACGCAGGACGAAAGACGAGGAGCGGATGCCAGCAGCGCAGCATCCTGGCGAGGGACCTTGCGGTGCCAGGAGGTGGACACTCCTCACAATCACACACACAGATTGTTAAGCACATACGTGCAGTGAGAGAAACAGTAACACATATTGATTTTATGTACTACACGTATACTAATATTATACATACTATGGTTAAATATATAAATATCGAGCAAAAAGGATTCCTGTCATGTGGCTATTATATCAAAATATTATTTTGTGAATATTAAATTAGCTAATTACAGCGAAACTTCTGTCAATCAGTGTGTGATGATTAGCCTTGACGATTTACTATGTGATATTCAGCTTTAAGTTTTTCAGTGTGAATTGGAGCGATAAGATTTCGCAACCGGGTCTACGAAGCGTTGGAAACGCCACATCGCAATCGCCATTCGTCCTCGATTGCGAAAAAGTTTCGTCCGCCATTCGATGGCAGCCCTTCTGGGCAGGAACAGAAGCTGAAGCTGAAGCGGCAGGAGCGGGAGCTTCAGGACTTTCGTTTCAAGGATTTCCGACCGTTGCCGTCCGACTCGACGACTGACGGCTTGACTATAGCACTCGCAAGAGCGGAAAACCTACGAGTGTAGGGTTAGGTGCGAGGGGGGCTCCCCCGATAAAGGTAGAAGAAGCAACATCAATGCAAACACAACAACTTCGGCTCAGGTTACTGCCACACGGCTGCGCCCCAAAACAAAATTGAAACCCCAGCGCGTTAAGAGCTCTGACATAAAACCCTGAAAGCGAAATTGCCGTTGAGGGATATACGACGAGCGAAAGGACAGACTATATATACCTCTTCAGCCACCTCAACCTCATCCTGCGTCGTCGTCGCTTCTTCTTTTTCGCCCGAGTTCTGCTGGGGTTCGGTATATATAGTACAGTATAGTACATATGCCAATCGCAGGATGGAGAGGATGAATAGCCGGGGGTTAAATAAACGTTTTGATGTACGATTGGGTACAGTTGAGCTTGGTCGGACAGGAGCTTAGTTATAATACCCAACACTTTGTGATCGGAGCAGAATTACCCGTTCATAAAATTAATCTTTTCTTAAAATCATATAGACATTATTGCGAATAATTCTAAATATTTATTTAGAGAATTATTTAAACATTATCTTATTCATCAAAAATATTTTAAAATGTAATTTACAAAAATATCTCCAGCTACTGAAAGGATACGTTAAATACAACATAAGTCATTATCTTGTTGATAAACTCGTATTTTTAAGATCCCTCTGCAATTTATCCTTCGTCTTTATAAAGAAATCGTATAGCATTTTATTGAGATTATAAATGTTGGAGCTCTGGGAGCTATTCTATTTATAGCGTTTATATAGCGCTTCTGGGTGTAACTTTTTTATTGTTATAGAATCATCGAGTCCCAGTGGTCCTCGGCTTGTTCACTCACAAGGGTGGGCATTAAAAATTGCGTGACTAACAACCATGCTATGCTTCCCAAAGTTTATGAAGGTAATTTTGTCTTTTCATTTATACAAAAGTTATGCTTTGTTTAAGCAGAGATAGGTTTTTATGTGTATTTTTTTTAAATATATTTAATTTGGTGGTTAGCTGCTTTTCAGCTAATTTTTTGTATATGTGAAATAAAAAAATTCCTATTTACTTCCTGGTTTGCAAAGACTAAGGGGAAGTCTACCTTCATTTAAAAATTGAATGAGATCACTAAATATATCGGTGAAGTTTCTGTGGGAAAACAAACAGTCAACCTTTCAGTCACCTTTTATTGTCCCCTTTATATATCCATTAGCATCCTGTAAATGTATTCCATTTCATTTATTTACTCTGGCTGGCGGTTAGTTGCACATATAATATTGATTCTTTCATCATACCAGACTCACCCAATCGACCCCTTTAATCACCAGACATACACACGATGCCATAATCGTTTCCATTGTATGCCAAATATGAACGGCTCGCCAAAACTGTAGACCCCGGCTCAAGAGCGGCTCTACGAATACCCGTTCATGTGGAGTAGAGATATATATATATACTATATACGAGAGTATGCATTCCGAGCGGGAAACGTGAGAACCGACTGGATCTGATTACTAAGGCGAAACAAGTCTGGTTCGCTGAGTCTCTGGTTCTGCTACTCAGCTTTATATACCCCGTACTTCTTATTTGGGTTGTCGGCCGACATAAGCCTCTTGGGCCCTCGAAACTGCAGGCAGCTCTTCAATTCCGTTCCGCAGACGATGATGATGACGGCCCTTCAGCTGGGGCCCTGGAGGTTCTGACGATAATGACGATGTGCCCTCAGCTTCCATTTCAGTCCCCGGCTTTCTGTCATGCGCCGCTCCAGCGTTTCGAGTTCGTTTCTCGTACTCACTCCTCGTCTTCGTTTTCGCTGGCACACAGCTTTCGATAGATGCTAATCTATCTTTATTGTGCACAAGATGTCGAGAGGATACCAAGAAGCTCTGACCCTCTTTTTCCTGAGCCGCTTACCCTCCAAACCTACGGAAAACAAAAGAAAAATGCCCATCACTCTGGCTGTGAGAGCCTCAATCGCTCAGTGGTTCCGACTCCTTTCGGAGGCTGCTATAAATACCAATCCAATCATCTTGGCCAGCGACATGTATTGGATTTCATTTGGGTTCGATTTTGGTATGAACAAATCGATTTGTTCGTTTTTTTGGTTTGATAGTAAATCGTTGGGTTTTGCGCATGTTCGCCTTGCTAGAGTTGACTGTCCAGAGGGATTTCCTATGGTAAATGAGTCGTAATTGATTGGTGTGCCTTCTTGTAATTCACTTTATTTTCTAAATTAATTTACCAATAGGTACAGCCAGAGTTATTATATAAAAAACTGTTAAGATTTTAGATACATAAACATTTTGAATTTACTAATAATTTGGTTTGGATTTATTCAAGAAGAAAATGTGAAAAAAATTAAAATTAAATAATTTTAATTTATGACACTTAGAGTATAAGCCATATAAACAGTGTTGATTTTTGTGCGATGTTTCGTTATACTAAGCCGGGATTAATTTTAATGAAATATCACCCAAAATGTTATTGCAATTTCCTTATATAATCAAGTTTGGATTTAAGGGATAAGTTTGATATTGATCTCTCGCATATATCATTATCCCGCACCCCGAACTGATTTTTCCAATATCCGGAATTCACCACCACAGTGCAAACAGAACGATGTTACACCACCGAGTAGTGAAAGGAATGGCAAGAGATGTATAACCCCGATATGGAAATGGCAATAAACTCGTAGTAGCGACAGCAATGAGCTCGCATCCCATGGACGGCGGGGGGACTGGATTCGGTATAGGAATAGGAATTGTGGGACTGGGATTGGGATTGGGATTACTAGCAGCGGCGTTGACTGTGCTAACGAGGGGCCAGTGGCACGGAATCGAGAATCGGGCGAGGGGAAAACGGAGGCAACTGGAGTGGCAAAAGGCACAAAGGAAATTACTAGGAAAAATTCAGGTCCCTATGGTGCTTTTGGGTGCGACAGTCGTCGCATGGATACTCACCAACACACACAGCCATATAGCTGGAGATAATCAGGGAAACCGACTGAACGACCGACGGACGCTGCAGGCGGACATCACATATAGATTATAGCGCGCACAATGGGGCAACGAGCGAAAGATGCCGAGATACCGGTGGAGATACATACCTTCAGTCGAGGGACCAAAAACGGAGCACTGAGACCGAAACCGAAACCGAACCTCAAACTGGCATCGCAATGGAATCGAGCGAATAGCGGAGGCCAAGGCCCGGGACCTAATCAAAAAAGGTAATGGAAAAACACTATCTCGGGTCGTGGCAGCGATTTCACAATGCTCACTCAGTCCCAGGAGGACAGCAGAGGGCGGAGGGCGGGTGTGCTAGGTTCAATATAATACATAACCATAATAAATTCCATGGCTAAATCCCCGCATCTGGCTCTCCAGAAAAAGGTCATAATAGATGAGCTTAGTCGAGCTCTGGGCTAAGGGGCGGTCCTCCCACTTACAGTGGGCATTACTACAAGAAACAAAGTGGATGGATAAATCCAAAAAAATATAGGTATTAATACACATATTATATTTAAGAATATGTTCCGGAGTTTTTAAAACATAAAAGCTTAAAGGTTATACACATAATATTATTCTCTGCTTTAGTTTTTCTACACTTGTTTGGAAATGTCCTTTTTCAAAAAATCATTGCATACTTTTGGCGCAATTACATTCAAAATAGTAAATAAACATTTTTTACTTTTTCTAATTATGTATTTAAAGGGTAATATCTTATGTTTAATTAATTGAAATATAATTTATATATTTATCTATTTTAACATTGCAGCTTAAATTTAAGCAAAATTAAACCTTTAAAAACCTGATTATTAAATGCGAATTTTCACGCTAGCAAGACCAACCTGTACAGGAATTAAGCATTGAATGCTATCACCACTCAATGTTTCGAGTTGAAGAACATTCGGCTTAGTGAAATGCGCTTTATAGACGTTTAACTGTTTATATATTGCTGTGCGAATCCAAATGTGTTTACTGGGGGGTGTGTGAGCTTGTAGGGTTCCTGGCTCATCGCAATCACTTCGGATTCGGAGTCATGAAATGGCAAAAGGAAAGGTCATTTTCTTCGATGCCCGAGCTCGTTTTCTAAAGGTTGCCAAGGGCTTTTACCCCCTGCGACTGCCGTCGCCGTCGCCGTTGCCGTTGCCGCAAAAAAGCATTTGCAGGAAAGTTTCCTTGGCTGGTCAGTGGCGGATAGCTGCTGGAATACAATATAATAGAGTCGAGTCATCGTCAAGCATCCGAGCATCCGAGGAAACCCGGAGTCCCCAAGCGCACGGACCACCCAGAACGACCGCCCAGCCCGAAAACCCACCCATTAGCGCCACCCGCCGCAGAGGTTGATGCTGTGGTTTTATACCTTTTCCAATACTTTTCCTTATATATACACACACCTAATATATACTAGCTGGATATGCTTTATGCTATGTGTGCGGATTCCCACCACCGAAGCACAATCTGAATGGAATGGAATTCGAATCGGAATGGAAGGGAACCGACCGACCGACAAATACGAGCCCAAATTGAGCGTTATCCATTTGTATCTTAACTTGTATCAAGACTAATCCATCAAAACGATTTCGAGTCGTTGGTTTTGTTCTTGTTTCGCCCTCTGCCGACGTCGCTGCCGACGTCCAAGCTATTTGGTTCCAATCTCAAACCCAATCACCTACCAAACCAGGCAGCGATACTTCAAGTTACAGCTATATACCATACAAGATACACATGGCCACGGTTTATCTGCTCCACAGCATCTCAAAGATATGTGTGTGCTTTGGCTTGGAATTGGCTTTCTGTACGTGCGCTTTTGTATATGTGTATATATTGTAGTTGCCATGGCACTTCGCTAACGGATGTGGGTCTCCGATGCCTATAACGAATGTCCCAAGAACCCGAATCCGAACAAGCATCTCAGCATCACGACTCGCTTATATGGAGTATCCATGGGAAAACTTGTTTCAATTGGATCGATGCCAAACGAAAATCGTACAGACGAAGCCATTCGAGTGGACCAAAGCCAGATAAACTCAGGTAAGATCGCTCACGTTAATGGTTCTTTAATCCGATCTACCTGTAAGAGGATTATCAATGTTCAGGGTCAACAACCCATTATGATAGGATCCTTAAAAAGAGATATCCGCTATTTCGTTGCTTAATAAAAATTTTATTAATAAAATCGTTTACGACTTTCATGATTTCTGGTGATCGGTTAAAAATAAATAACCCTCTAATGATCACTTTTAACAAATTTTCAAAAAACTTTACAAATGATATCTTATTTAATACAGTATGTACAAGTAAAGTACATATATATAAGCTGTCCAAACATGGTCCATCCCAATACCGATATAGAGTTAAAAAATTTCATAATAATACCCAAAAATAGGTATGATTATGAGTGCTTGAGAGTCGATGTGTGTACATACTATAGCATACAATAGATATATCCGACTCAGTGATATAGATACCGGAATTCCAAGTGGATTTCGTCAGACCCACAACCAAAACCACTCAACCACCTGAAAAGAGAGATTCAGATACACACAAAAAGATGGAGATTGGAGTGTGAGGGAGGCGGTTTCCATGGCGGGCTCTACGTAAGCCCGAAACCCGAAAAACCCATCAGAGAGCTATATACACAGGCGCCTCAAACTGGAGCCGTGAAACGCACCCCAAAGGTAGGACGAGATGACAGGTTGGGCTTCGGACTCGGATTCGGAATCGGATTTGGGTTCGGCTTCTGGTTCGGCTGGGATTTCGAGTTCGGGTCTTCGGGCATATATCGCCGACGGCTGACAGACGAGACGCCCGACAACTGACACCACCCCCGCTCAGTTCCGTCCGGCGTTTCCACGTTCAGTCGCCCGTTCAGTTCTTGCCGCTTTTGTTGTTGTCGCTCTGCCTGTTTGTTTTTCACGTCTTGCGCCAACGCCGGCTGCGGCGCCCCCTTGTGGAGCAGCGCTGACTAACCAGCTATATACTGGCAAAAATCGCCAATGCATCTGTATTTATAACTAGGATTTACACAAATATAAACAGGGGCTTGGTAATACCTACAATACCATATCAATTAAAGTTTGCTCTAATTATTATTTTATATTTTTTAGATATTTAGTAATGAATTTACGTTGGGAATATATAACCTATCAAATTTAGTTGAGGTATCAAGTAAATAATTTGCATATATGTATGTATGTATGGTCTCTTGATAAACATTTCTTTAAAACATACGTAAAAGTAATGCGTCTCCTTAGCGGACGTAATAATATTGATACAAAATTCTTCTTGACTTTCCATACCAGCTATGCATTTGCACGGCATCTTTGGCATCTCAGGTCGAGAGGTTCTTGGCATCGAGCCGTCCTTGCCGACGCTTCTTCGCTTCTTCAGCCGCTGCTGCTGCGCTGCCGACGCCTCTGCCGCAGCCGCTGCCGCATCGCTGCCACCGTCGCTGCCTTAGGTTTTTGGTTTGGCATGGCTTGTTTGGGATTAAATATTTCCTATAGATGGGAAAAACGAGTCGGTCGGGGTCGTTCGTCGAATCGTGGCTGTTGGCTGTTTGGCTGTTTGGCTGTTTGGCCGCTTGGCTGTGGCTGTAGCCGTAGTTGCTGTGGCGATGATGATGTCGCCAGTTTCGTACACTCTGCGCTGAACGTTCGTTGGCGGCGGTTCACGCATCGCGGTCCGCAGCTGTTTTTCCCCGAGTATCCAAGTTCCCGAGTGGTTCGGAATATCGCCTATATATATAGTATCGCGGAAATACTAGACTCTCTAAGAGCCCCGATTTTTCAGACCGGTGCCAGTGGATATATCTGCACGCAGTCGAGTTTTTCGGTGACACTGGATGTGAGTTGTACAACTGTGCGGATGGGTGATAATAACGGCACACCCTGTGTATAGGGTGTAAACAAACGGGGTCTTGAGACTCGGCCGCTTTGTTATTGTTATGGTTTCGCAGTGTTTGTGTGTGTGTGTAGGTGTGAGAGAGTGTTTGCAATTAAAAAAGCCGCATTTGCATGTGCGTTTGTGCCTTTGAAAAATCGGCGCTTTTGTTTTTTGTTTGACTTCCTTAGACCGCGCGGCGGCTGCGAAGTCAGCGGCGGCAGAGCGGTTTGTTTTGGTTTTGCATTTGTTTGATTTTTCGCCAGCTTATTTATTCCGATGTTTGGCGAGTGTACTTGTGTGCCTCTGCCTCTGTGGGTGTGATAAGGGTACATTGCCCGCTGATTTGGCGCCAATTGAATAAAACGTGCTCCTCGGGGAGAGAGTCCTTGAAACGGCCAAGGACAATTGGATGTTGGACTGGGCGTGTTCGTGGGCGGAAATGGGTGTGTTTGGGTTAAATGGGGCATGATTAACAAGTAAAGCTGCTTATTGGAGGCTACTTTGACTGTTTTTGATAAGTGTTAATAAAGATGAATTGGATGGTTCCTTTTGTTTATTATCAAGAATATTCTCCTGTTCAACTTATTGCTGTTCTTTTGATTGGGTTTAAAGCTTATAATTATGTATTATATGAACATAAATAACGTTTAAACAAAATCATTTTATCTCTCTTATTGCATTACTTTAAATATAATTTGTTGTATTGAAAACTGCCTGGCATTTGCTATCCATTTCTCACATTAATGACCTCATAGACATAAAACCGAGATACAAACACCCATAATATGTATATGTACCCAGCATAGACATCGTCTGTTTCTTTATTCCCATGAGTATATCTTCCCCCTCGAATCTGAACAAACTCACAAACGAACACAGCGAGACGGGGCGAGTTCGAATCATGGCATGCCATGCTATATAACATCCATTTATGCGCTGCTGCTAAACCAGCCCAAAAAGGTCCGACTCCGACCAAACCACCTTGAGATATAAGATAAATAAGTAAACTCATGCCAGAGCCCGAGCCCAAGAAAGACGAAAACCAATCGCAAAATTACCTGACATCGTGAACCGAGCGAAACCTAAAACTACCAGCTTAATCCCCAGTGCGGCGGAATCCGGGACGGGGGAATACTTACCTATATATAGTAGAAGTATAGTGGACGGACAGAAGGGCGCGAGGCAGAAGTATGTAGGTAGAACGACGTATAAACGAACCGAGCCAAAAAACCGAACCGAAAACTTCCTAGGCGAACAATGGCTGGCGATACTGCGATACAGAGATACAAAAGATATGTGGCCAACAAAAGGGAACCCAGGGTTCGCTCGGTTCGGTTAGGGAACTGCAAAACTGAAATGGGATTGGGACTGGCAGACTCGAACTCAGACCGGAGCATCATCTTGATGGCTCCGATGATAATGACGCTGCACGAATTTTCACGAAGAACCCAGGAGCTAAGGCAGCCCAGCCATTAGGGTGAGCCTGCTGTGGGAGGGGAATCGGAATCGGAATCTGCAGATTGGGGGCAAGGAGGAGCAGGAGGGAGCGGGAGCAGGAGGAGGCGGACGCGACGGAGGAGGAGGACTTGGCACGGGGAATCCCCCCGGGGACTGGCGAGGGACAACTCTCGAGGCGATTAAGATAAAGTGCCAATCGATATAAGGGAAAGAAAGGCAAGAACTGAACTGGCGAGCTGAACAGAGCGAGCTGAGATGTCGAGATACTCGTACTTGGAGCTACATCCACGTCCTCGTCCAACAGCCAAGTCCGATAGCCTGTATATATTTACAGGAGCCGCCAAAGAAATAGTGTCATTAACAGGTTTTTCATAACAATGCAAAAGCGGTACTTTCTAAGTTTAAAATATTATAGAAAAATATTTCGTGAGGAACAGGATTAAATTAAGAATTGACAATACATATTTAAAGATTTTTTTTATTATTTGAAGAACAAAGTATTTATGAGTTAAAAACAATAAAAACTTCTAAACCTTAAAAATATATAAGAATTAATTCTCCACGAAAATGTTTCAAGATATGAAAATTTCCTGAAGTTTTCGAAACCCAATACTATTTCCTTGGCCGCTATAGTAAACATATAGCCAAACCCAGACTCTGAGCCATAGCCATACCCATAGCAATAGCCATAGCCATAGCTTGGGCCATAGAGAGCGACATAAAAGGAAATATAAAACCATTTATAAAGCGAGTCAGTCAGGGGAGATTTGAATTGGAATTGATGGTGTAGTGCACTCGACTGTGCCGTGGTGTGTGTGCGGATGTGCTCACAGATACGCACACACACTGGTCCAGGCCATAGACGAAGCGCAGTCGCGTTGTGTGTGTGTGAGTGCCAAGGTGCGAGTGTCTTCAAGATGGAAAAGTGGAAGGGTTCCTTGGGCTTGGGTTCCTTCGGTTCGGTTCGACTGAGCTTGGGTTTCTCGGGCTGCGAACTTTTGACGCTGGCAGCGCTGCTGCCAAGAAGTTTCCGGCACAAAAACTTTGCTCAAGTAGAGCGAAAAGCTGCCCGAGGCGAGCAGAAGGGACGGGAATCTGCCAGAAAGAGCGATGGAACAGTGAGCAACCCCTAAGCTGGCCGGGAGATAGAGCCCATCTCCGTAAATCCGAGTCGGCAAATCAGGAATTGCAAGGAGGCTGGTTAACCAGCGGACGTAACCTCGAGTTAGCCCCCTCGGGACTTGGCCATACGTGTCTGTAAAATTTGCATTTTATCGCTGTACATTAACTTCTGTGTTGAGAGCAACAAAGGGGCGATTACTATCATTAGCTGAAGCTAAACGAATCCTGAGATTAGTCAGCTCAAGCTGTCACATCATTTTAAAAATTTGTAGGTGTTTCAACCCCCACAATGGATTCTATTTTCTTCATTATAATATTTAAAATTATAGTTGATTCAACCCCCAACATGACATACCTCTCTGAATTTTTTTTGCTGTAGCATATATCTTTCGTTTTCTATAAACATATATAGATGTATTTATATACACAAAATTGGTGAAAAACAAATGTATTATCTAAACATTTTATCGATCCAGTTGTTCTGAATGGGAAAACAGAAAAACTCCATTTCGTAATTATAGTTTTGTAAATTTGTTGACATTGTTCCCTTTTTCAATTTTTATCTAAAATCAGTTAAATACTAAAGAAAACAAATCCCGCTCACTCGACCCGATTTTATAGCGAGCCATAATCGTGGTGAAACGGACATGCTGTTCGCATTAAGTCATCTCGATCTTCATCTCTGGAGACTGTGCTAATCCAAAGACCGGCTCTGACGAAGTCAGGTGGGCTTGGATCCGTGACTCAGTCAAGATCTGGAGATGTATCTCTGGGGGCGTTCAGCGAGGGGGCGCGGCCCCGATTCGTTCACATTAGCCAGGCATCTCTGTGAAAATCTTCAGTTGTGTGTATCTGCCAGATACTAAATACACGACACATTGGGTGTGTGTGCGTTTGTGGGAGTACTCCCCAAAATGGATCTTTGGAGGTATGGCTTGGGGTCTGGTTTTTCGGGGGCTGTATCGATTTCCGAACGCTTACGCAGCGCTTCCAACTATCAACACTTTTGTAGCTTTTCGTACTTTGTGTGTGTGTGTGTGTGTTTGTATCTTTATCTATAGCTGTTCTGTATCTATATCTTCTGCCCTCGTATTGCTCTTGTTTGCTCAAACTCTCTGAAGTGGTCGCGTTATTAGCAGATGCTATTTGGAGGCCTCGAGGTCGAATCTATATAAGATACCCTGATATTATATATATTTGTTTATTTTATGCATTTGGGTTGCCATAGCTTTGGTGAGTCATCAGCTAGAGCTCGAGTTTATGGTCCAATGAGGTAAACATTCACTTGCTTGACGACATTATTGTTCAGTTTTTATAGTTGTCCTTCTCGAAAAGCTGATTCATGGGATTGATGTATAATTTTGAGTTCTGAGAAACCGAGATCAACCGGGGAATTTACCAAGTTAATCATTCGATCGAATTCACATTATGCCAGACATTTGTAGAAGCTCCAAGTTTGCAAGGTGTTTAATAAACCAAGAGTAGTTTGTTCTAAGCAAAGTTGAAATGCAAACACTTGTTGCAAAAAGCCGCCAAATAAACACAGGTTGCCAGATCCTTTGCATTTCCACTTCCGCTCTTCCGCACTTCCGGTCAAAAGAAAACCGAATGAAGAATAAAGTTTTTTCTCTAAGTTAACAGATTACTGATGATGGTATACCCTTCATTGCAGATACTCCGGTGGCTTTGTTTTAATTTTCCTCCATTTCGTGGCCTGGCGGAGCGTGAGCATCGCCAGCAATTCAGCATTTAAGATTCGAGGCCAACAGCAATTCCATCCGCAGGTCGAGATGCCGACCATCCGGCGGTGCTGCATCATCGGCTGTCTGTCCAACTCGCGCCAGCATCCCAGCATGCAGTTCTTCGCGTTCCCCCGCCCGGAGAACCCCTTCCACAAGCTGTGGAAGGAGGCGTGCCACGCCTCGCTGCGCCGGATAGTGCCCTTCAAGAAGCCGGTGGTGTGTGCCCTGCACTTTGACCCCAGCGTGCTGGGCGGCAGGAGGCTGCAGTCGAACGCACTGCCCACGCTGCGGCTGGAGGTGCCCTCGAACCTGGAGGCCGTGGAGCAGCAGGCGATGGTGGAGGAGATCGAGCGGAGCAGGAAGTGCGCCTACATCAACGCGGTGGTCTACGAGTGGCTGGTCCGAGCCAACATAAACCCGCAGCTGCGCGGCAGCATCACCCACGGAATGATCAAGGACAAGGCGGAGAACGCGCGCCAGGTGATCGGGAGCACCTCCTTCATAGCGGACAACCGCTGGCTAAACCGCTTCCGGGAGACCCACCTGCAGGGCTTCGCCCAGAAGTTGGCCAGCAACCAGCTGAAGCCCCTGGGCTCCTCCCTCTGGATCCCGGACATAGTGCAGGACCTGGCGCACCTCTTTCCGCCGGCGAGCGCGGAACGCGTGGCCAAGCTGGAGGAGATGCCCGAGCAGTACATGAGCTACATGCAGCAGTATGGGGAGTACGAGGAGGACGACGACAGCATGGACGTCAAGGAGCAGAGCTACCAGGAGCAGCAACAGCAACAGCAGCAGCAGCACTTTGCCCTGCAGCAGCAACACATGCAGCAGCAGCAGCAACAGCAGATGGGTCACCCGTGGCCCCCGTTCGCCGGGCATCCTCCGCCTCCGCATCCCGGTTTCGCCAACTTCAATGACTTCTACTTCGAGCGGCACCAGCAGCAAATGCAGCAGCAACTCCAGCAGCAGCAGATGCAGCAGCAGGCTCAGTTCCCACCCAGTATGCCGCCGCAAAGGGAACCCTTTCAGCCCCAACTACCGCCAAATGTTCCGCCCCAGCGAGCCAGTCCCTTCCAGCCCGTGCAGCTGGCCAAGCGGCCCAAGATGGAGTCGCCCGACGATGACGAAGTGCAGGAGATCAACGCGGCGATGACCTCGCCTCCCCTGGCGGAGTCCACGTTGACCGGCAAGGACAGCCGGAGTTCCAGCCCCAAGGAGCAGAACAACAACAACAGCAGCAGCGGGGGGAGGGACAGCGCCAGCAGCAAGGAGAACGCCCCCAAGGGAGGCGGTCCGAGTGGCAAGTCCACGCCCGCGCTCTCCGCCAAGGGAAAGGACTCCCCAGCTCCCGCCTCAGCCAAATCCGCCTCTGCTCCCGCCTCGCCCAAGAAGATCCCGAACGGATCGGGGTCATCGGGCAGCCAAACCAATGGACACACCTCGCCGGAACCCGAGGAGAGGAAAGCCATAACCGCGCTCAAGGAGCTGGAGAGCTACCATCAGGCCTTGGAGTACCTAAAACCGCTGGAGGACTTTGTGCTCTTCAAGGAGAACTTCCGTGCCATCGGCCTGCTCTCGCAGCTGGAACTGGTGCTCCGCAAAGGGGACAAGGCCACGTTGGTGGAGGGTTGAGGTGGAACAACCACGTTTACAAGCACAAAACAGAAATGTGATGAACAGTGTACATATGTATCAAGTAGTATTATTAATTCGTACTACCACTAAACGCGTTGTTTAGGATTACAAAGAATCTCTACTCGCATAAAGCTGAACAAAATTCATTAATTTATTAAATACTATAAGAGCATTAAAATGGAATTTTAATAATGATTTATGTGTTGTTTAAATGGGTTTTTGCTAAGCATTTATTTTATTATACAAAATTTAAACTGTTTTTGTTTGGTGAACTATTTTGATCCTTTCAGTGGTCGGTTATTTTTTGCACAGTCTGGCAATATTGCCTCTTCATAAGAGTGACCAAGCTGTGGAGATAGCTAAGGAAGATTACCCACCCTATAAAACGGTCACACTCTACCAATGTTTACGTTTTACAGCGAAAAAGTCTGCCAATTGTTGCTAAACAAATAAAATTCACCAACAATAAAGCCACAGAACCGCACAAATGTCGCTGTTGGAGCAATATGAACAGCAGTATGCTTCATTAATAGCAGAAATAACTGCCCATATTGGACGACTGCAGCAGCAAAACAACAACAGTGAGTTGTGACCACTTTTTCAGGGACACAATGATTGAATTACACCTTTTCACACTAGGCGAACGTCATGATTTGTGCAGCAAGATCGATGCCAGCTTGCCCGAGGCCCAGGAACTGCTGGAGCAGATGGGTCTGGAGGTCAGGGAACTGAGTCCCAGCCAACGGAGCAGCTTCAACGGCAAACTGCAGGTGGCCCAGGCGGAGCTAAAACGCCTGCAGGCGGAGTACAGGCAAACCAAGGACAAGCAGCGCTCGCAGGCCAACGCATTCACCACCCTGGATTTGGGAGACAGCTACGAGGACGTGTCCATAAGCACAGATCAGCGACAGCGTCTGCTGGACAACTCGGAGAGGATCGAGAGGACGGGCAATAGGTTGACCGAAGGATATCGCGTGGCTCTGGAAACGGAGCAAATGGGTGCCCAGGTACTAAGCGACCTTCACCACCAGAGGGAAACCCTCCAGGGAGCCAGGGCTCGTCTCCGGGAAACCAACGCCGAGCTTGGAAGGGCATCGCGCACTCTAAACACCATGATGTTAAGAGCCCTGCGGGAGAAGGTCGTTCTGTACGGAGTGGGAGTCTGCTTTGTGGTAGCCGTGGGCGTCAGTCTCTACCTGACCTTTGCCCCAAGTTCCACAAGCGCCGTCACCTCGTAGTAATTCTAGATAAGAAACCAAAGAAGAAAGCCCATGATTGTAGCCCAAATTTAGTTGGCATAGAAGCCTACCCATTCCAATTTCGTGAGTTGATTATTTATTCTTTAGCATATTTTATCTTTACGAGATACTCTGTGGAAGAAAGCTGCAGACTTACGCACTAATCTATATACGAAAAGATGTTTATTTAAATGAAAATGCTGGAAAGTTTGGTTTGTGTTGAATATGTTCTCTCAGAAATTATAAATTCACCAAATCTATTTTGTAGGCCCAGCATAAGGATTTGTGTAAAGTATTACAAATAATTCCAGCCTGTCCGTGAACTGTTCTGTTCTATGGTTTTACGTTTTATTTCTTATTACTTACTTGTTCCTAGTCAAAAACTTCGCACACATTGCATTCCTTGCCTACGATCATAGACCCATCCTCAATTATGTGTAAAAAGTTTAAATGGTTAAAGTTTGGCGCCTGGTTAATAGTAACTAATCCTACTCTATGACTCGTATTCGCATTCGGGACGTGTTTCGCATAAATTCGAAATGAACATGTATCTAAAAACCAAAAACATAGCCGAGAACTTGTTAATAAATAAAGCAAACACTAAAAATGCATTTCTGCATAGGACATTGAGCTCGAACTAGCCAAACTCAATGTTCCCCAACTGCTAGCAGCCGCAGGAGGATCCGTCGTCCTCGTTGATCGCCCCGCTGCTGCCAGCAGTGTCCACCTGGAAGCTCTTGTGCTCCAGGGCCTGCAGCTCCATCTTGGAGCGGTTGGCATGGACCAACTGCCTCGAGATGTCCCGGAACATCTCCTCCACACCGGCACCGCTGCGACAGGACGTCTTGTAGGTGGCACTGATCAGCGAGTGGCACTGCTCGCAGAAGGCCTCAACCTCCTCGTCGCTGACCTCCGGCTCCCTTCCCTCTAGATCGCTCTTGTTGCCGCAGATGAAGATCTTGGCGTTCTCCGCATAGGTGACGATATCCAGCAAATGCTGCGACAGCGAATGGAACGAGGCGGCGTTGTCCAAGGCGAAGACGAGGATGGCTCCCTCGGCGAACTTGTAGTACGAGGAGGTCACCGAGGCCACGCGCTCCATACCGCCAGTGTCCCAGAGTTGCAACTGTTAGATAAACAGGGAAAATTAGTGCTATTGACTTTTTATTGGATTTATCATTATCTATCGATGTCTATCATTGACCACATGAAACTGATATAGTAGGACTCAATAGTTTTTGGGTTCCAATAAGCTAGAACCGCAGGACCATGGCACCACCCAGAAACCCACCTTTATTTGCTTCTCGTTGACGCTGTACTCCCTATCGATGTGGTCCAATCCCAGCGTGGATTTCCTGTCCGTATCCGTGACAAAGGTGTTGGTGGCGAATCGGCGAAACAGGGAGCTCTTCCCCACTCCGTAGTCGCCGCACAGGATCACCTTCTGTTTGGGTATGCGCATCGTGGCCATGTCTGTGACTCCCTGTGAGTTATCCCGATTTAATCCAATTACTTTGCTATTTTGCACCTGCAGACACAAAGACGACAACAACAATGCCAAAACAGCTGTTACTGCGAAAACATTGTTTATCGCAGAGTTGCCACATCTGCAAGTATTATCGATTACAGATATCATGTTTGTTTCTATCGAATTTAAATGGCCTTATCACTTCCGATTTGGATTAAGACTTTGTTTTGCAATAAACCTGTTACTGTTGACACTGGTTTTGTGCTCTGCTCGTCTCTTGATTTATTGTTTTTCGTAATGCAAAATATTTAAGTACATAAATAAATAATTAATATTACATAAATAAATATTAGTTTGTGGCAATTATTTTTTTTCGGTTAAATATATTCGCTCACAAAATATTGTTATATTGGATAGTTAATGAAAAATAGTACTTGAACAACTATTTGTTATTTAAGAACTAAATTCTATAAAGAACCAGTTCGACATGGGCAGCTATCATTTTTTGAAAAACTATTATCTGATGTCCACTGCTGCTGATAATGCACTACCCTTTAAATAAAGCCAAGAGCTACGTCGACTTCTTCAGTTGAAGATGTCGACTTGTCTGGTGATATTCCTGGCGTTATTCACCGCTTTGGCGAGTGGTAAGAGTTATAAATTAAGCACTATCTGAAAGAGGGATAGCAAGGCTTAATAGTACTAGTAAAATTTTTTGCTAAATCAATGGCAAATCGTAGGAAAGCCCGGTTACGGACCCGGGGAGCAGGATTGGGGCTACGTGGATGTGCGTCCCGGTGCGCACATGTTCTACTGGCTGTACTACACCACCGCCAATGTTTCCAGCTACACGGAGCGGCCCCTGGTCATTTGGCTGCAAGGAGGTCCAGGTGCCTCCTCCACGGGATACGGAAACTTCGAGGAGCTGGGACCCGTCGATCTGTACGGCGATTGGCGCAGTTGGACCTGGGTGAAGGACATGAATGTGCTCTTCATCGACAATCCCGTGGGCAGTGGCTTCAGCTACGTGGACAACACGGCCTACTACACCGCCACCAACAAGGAAATCGCCCTCGATCTGGTGGAGCTGATGAAGGGCTTCTACCAGCTGCATCCGGAGTTCGAGGAGGTGCCGCTGCACATCTTCTGCGAGAGCTACGGCGGTAAGATGGCCCCGGAGTTCGCTCTGGAGCTCTACTACGCCAAGGAGCGCGGCGAGGTGAGAAGCAACCTCACTTCGGTGGCTCTGGGTGATCCCTGGACCTCGCCCATCGACTCCGTGCTCGCCTGGGGACCCTTCCTCCGGGAAATGGGCATCGTGGACCACGCGGGCTACAAGGCCATCCAGGAGGCGGCGAACTTTACGGCTCAGCTGGTGGAGGAGGAGCGCTGGATCCAGGCCACCTACCAGTGGGGCAACACCCAGTGGGAGGTGATGAAGGCCTCCAAGGGCGTCGACTTCTACAACGTGCTGAAGGAGACAAAGGGTGGTCTCTACCAGCGGCAGCTTGCCCTGTCCGCCGAAGGTGATGATCTCTTGGGTTTCAAGCTAAACAGATCAAAAGAGCTCTGATTTTCCTCCTGCAGAGCGTCTCTATCGCACCATGGTGACGTACGACATCGACGAGGACCGCACTCAGTTGCTGGAGGATCTAATGCGAGGACCCGTGGCCGAGACCCTTGGAATTCCCTCAAACGTTGTCTGGGGATCGCAGAGTGGCACAGTCTTCGACATCCACAGGACCGACTTCATGAAGCCCGTCATTCACATAGGTAGCGATCAATATAAAAGCTTAGGCGAAGAATTTAATAGCAAGCTGTGTGGTTTTCAGTTAATGAATTGCTCGACAAGACTCCTCTGAAAGTGGGCGTATTCTCCGGTGGCCTGGATCTGATTTGCGCCACTCCGGGCACCGTAAACTGGATCGCCAAGCTGGATTGGAGCCGCAGAGATGAATACTTGGCTGCCCCTCGTAACGCCATCACCGTGGACCGCATTCTGGAGGGCTATCAAAAGTCGGGCGGCAACTTCACCATGTTCTGGATCAACCGAAGTGGTCACATGGCTCCGGCCGATAATTCTGCAGCCATGAGTCACGTTCTCCGCGAGTTTACCAATTTTGGATGAATACCAAGTTCACAAATTAATTGTATAACTTAAAAATAAAACAAAGTATTGTTTTGCCTTTCAATATGAATTATTTGTGTTCATGTACTTAAAAAAAAATTGGGTTAATAAAATAGCTTAAAATTGGTGGAACTTTCTTTACCCGATTAAGACTGGCATTAAATTCATATTATCTAAAGTCCGGAAAATTTGAATACCAATTTTTCTAATTGCATAAGTATGATATAATTTAAAAATAAATCCTTATCAATAACAAATCAACGAAAAAAGGTCCTTGGTATCTGTTTTGTAGTCTGCTAGATATGTCACAAAGCATTAACTGCACTAAAGATCGACAGTCAACTAGGAAAATCCCTGGAAAATCCAATCATGATAACCAATGCAATCTTTGCGACGATTTCGGGAGACTTAGAGGCTCTTTCTAAATATATGACACAGAGCTTTGCCAAATCGGACAAGTGTCAAAGACACACTGACTAAAAAATCCGCGTCATTGTCCGCTGAAGGGCCATAAATACTCTGCAAACACAACTGCCCCGACCGAAGATTACACATTCCAGGTGTGTCAGGTACTGTGGCTATTTTACCTTCGGTATCTGGGAGCAAACAACGATCATTCCGCGGTGGAACTCCACAGTATTCGGTTGGGTTTCGAGCGGTGACTTCTGAAATTCGTGCACCATGACTGGACGGGTTATCATCGGTCTTTCGGCGCTTCTGGCAATCGCCAGCCTGGGTTCTGTTGACGGTGAGTAGACCGTTTTATATTCCGATCAGGGGTGCTAATCAGCGAGAAAGTGTTCCAAGCCAAGCGGTTTTTACGACTTGTAGACCAGGTCAGCAGAAGCGAATAAATTCCTGAAAACTATCTATTGCTATTAGTAGTTGTTCTCAATTCAAACTCTTAATGAGTTAATGTGTATTCCATTTTTCAAAATCATTACATGAAGCTTATCCCTGATAATTTGAAATTTTATTTCTATCGGGCAGCCATTTATTAGACAACCTTATTAAATATCTTTTTCAATTAACGTTATCGAAGTAGCTGCTTGAGTCCATTTAATATACTTAAAAAAGATTACACACTTAAGTGTTTCGAAGAAATCAGTGCTTATCTACAAAACGTTTATGCGGTAGCAATTTACAGTGTATTTGAAGCTTAAGTAATAGACTTGAGATTCTTTTTGTAAAACTATAAACATTCAAATAGTTCAAAGAAGAGTATTATTGTGAGAGAAGGAGTTACCTTAAATAAACCTTTTTCTAGCTCGCAAGGGTTATGGATCTGGAGAGCAGGATTGGGGTTTTGTGGATGTGCGGACCGGAGCCCACATGTTCTACTGGCTGTATTACACCACCGCCAATGTCTCCAGCTACACGGAGCGTCCCCTGTCCATTTGGCTGCAAGGAGGGCCTGGTGCCTCCTCCACGGGATACGGAAACTTCGAGGAGCTGGGTCCCCAGAAGCTGGATGGCAGCTACCGCGACTGGACCTGGGTGAAGGACATGAATGTGCTGTTCATCGACAACCCGGTGGGCAGTGGCTTCAGCTACGTGGACGGATCCTCCTACTATACGACCACCAACAAGCAGATCGCCCTGGATCTGGTGGAGCTGATGAAGGGCTTCTACAAGAACCACCCTGAATTCAAGACCGTGCCACTGCACATCTTCTGCGAGAGCTACGGCGGCAAGATGGCTCCGGAGTTCGCGCTGGAGCTGGAGTACGCCATTCAGCGTGGAGAGATCGAGAGCAACTTCGTCTCGGTGGCTCTGGGCGATCCTTGGACCTCGCCCATCGACTCCGTGCTCTCGTGGGCACCCTTCCTGCTGCAGCTGGGAATCGTGGATCAGGATGGCCACGACAAGATCGAGGCCTCGGCCCTGAGGACCAAGAACTACGTGGACAACGGGCAGTGGACCCTGGCCACCCTGCAGTGGAGCTCCACGCAGTCGGTGGTGCTGCGCGAGTCCAAGGGCGTGGACTTCTACAACGTGGAGACCCCCACTCTCGGTGATCAGCACAGAATTATGTCGCGAGCATCCATGACTCCAGAGGGTAAGCTCGCTCTGATAGTTTTAATTGTTGAAGTGGCCCCAAGTTGCCTCTTATTCAGAGCTCATGTACCGCACGCTGGTTAAATTCGACGTGGATGAGGATCGGGACCAGATGCTGGAGGATCTGATGCTGGGACCCGTTACCGAAGCCTTGGGAATCGACACCGGAGTCAAGTGGGGCGCCCAGAGTGGCACAACCTTCAGCAAGCTGATGGGCGATTTCATGAAACCCGCAGTGGATATTGGTAGGTGATCTGGAACTTAAGCTTAAGGTGGAGAAATTGTTAAAGGGAGCCATACGGAAACTACCTAATCAGAGTACGTTCATCATGGACATTATACATTTCAGTGGGTGAGCTGCTAAGCAACACCACCGTGAAGGTGGGCGTGTTCTCCGGTGGCCTCGACCTAATCTGCGCCACTCCGGGAGCAGTGAACTGGATTGCCGACATGGAGTGGACCCACAAGGCCGAGTACGAGGCAGCTTCCCGTGTGGGAATCACCGTCGACCGAGTGCTGGAGGGTTACGAGAAGACCCACGGAAACTTCAGCATGTTCTGGGTAAACCGGGCTGGACACATGGTCCCCGCCGACAATCCAGCGGCCATGTCGCACATCCTGCGTCATTTCACCAATTTTGGTTAGATTAACCCGAAACCAAGGAGTTTAAATACATTAAATAAAGCACATTTTTGAAACAAGCCAAGTTATTTTTTGACAATATCTTCTTATAAATTAACAAGAAAGGAATATCCTTGAAGTCATCAAATATGTCGATCAAAATGCATAAGGGCTAAACAACATCGAAACTATGACGATTTTTCTATGAATTTTCCATGTTTTCGACTATTGTTTGAATGGCAGCTATATGATATAGTGGTCCGATTTTAATGAAATTTAATATGTAATTCAAAAGATTTTTTTCGATAAAGATAGATTTTTGATCTTTTCCATGGCCGCTATATGATAATGTTTTCGGATTTTAATGAAATTTTTTTCCGATTCAAGGGTTTTTATAAAACTCCATGTTTGAATCGTGGGATTAAAAACAACGACGTTATAATAATTTTTTTCCATTATTTATATATATATTTTTCGATCTTTCCTATTTTCGAAATTTCCGATTTTGATAAAATTTTATTCGAAATTCAATAGTGGTTAGAAAACGCCATCTAGAAGAAATCAAATCAGATAATATAAGTTTAATACCAGTCTAAAGTTTTCAATCAGGTAGAGAATGATTTTTATATTAGGTGCGCAACTAAATTCTCGCTGTTTTTTTTTTTTTTTTTGAAAAATACAACTTTATTTTTAATTTAATATATATATAATAATACTATTTTATTAAACCATTTTTTTTAAGTACATGAACACAAATAGTTGATATTGAAAGGCAAAGCAATAGTTTGTTTTATTTATAAGTTATACAATTAATTTGTACACCATGTTCATCCAAAATTGGTAAACTCGCGCAGAACGTGACTCATGGCTGCAGGATTGTCGGCCGGAGCCATGTGACCACTTCGGTTGATCCAGAACATAGTGAAGTTGCCCCCCGACTTTTGATAGCCCTCCAGAATGCGGTCCACGGTGATGGCGTTACGTGGGGCAGCCAAGTATTCATCTCTGCGGCTCCAATCCAGCTTGGCGATCCAGTTTACGGTGCCCGGAGTGGCGCAAATCAGATCCAGGCCACCGGAGAACACGCCCACTTTTAGAGGAGTCTTCTCCAGCAATTCATTAACTGAAAACCATACAGCTTGCTGTTAAATTCTTCCCTAAGATGTTATATTGATAGCTACCTATGTGAATGACGGGCTTCATGAAGTCGGTCCTGTGGACGTCGAAGACTGTTTCACTGAACAATACCCAGACGACGTTTGAGGGGATGCCAAGGGTCTCGGCCACTGGTCCTCGCATTAGATCCTCCAGCATCTTAGTGCGGTCCTCGTCGATGTCGTACTTTACCATAGTGCTATAGAGGCGCTCTGCAGGAGGAAAATCAGCGTTCTTTTGATCTGATTAGCTTGAAACAAAAGAGATCATCACCTTTGGCGGACAGGGAAATCTGCCGCTGGTCGAGACCACCCTTTGTCTCCTTCAGCACGTTGTAGATGTCGACGCCCTTGGAAACCTTCAATACCTCTTCCTGGGTTATGTTATACTGCTTGGTGGCCTGGAACCAGCGCTCCTCCTCCACCAGCTGAGCCGTAAAGTTCGCCGCCTCCTGGATGGCGTTGTAGCCCGCGTGGTCCACGATGCCCATTTCCCGGAGGAAGGGTCCCCAGGCGAGCACGGAGTCGATGGGCGAGGTCCAGGGATCACCCAGAGCCACCGAAGTGAGGTTGCTCCTCACCTCGCCGCGCTCCTTGGCGTAGTAGAGCTCCAGAGCGAACTCCGGGGCCATCTTGCCGCCGTAGCTCTCGCAGAAGATGTGCAGCGGCACCTCCTCGAACTCCGGATGCAGCTGGTAGAAGCCCTTCATCAGCTCCACCAGATCCAGGGCGATCTGCTTGTTGGTGGTCGTGTAGTAGGAGGATCCGTCCACGTAGCTGAAGCCAGTGCCCACGGGATTGTCGATGAACAGCACATTCATGTCCTTCACCCAGGTCCAACTGCGCCAATCACCGTACAGATCGACGGGTCCCAGCTCCTCGAAGTTTCCGTATCCTGTGGAGGAGACACCAGGCCCTCCTTGCAGCCAAATGGCCAGGGGGCGCTCCGTGTAGCTGGAAACATTGGCGGTGGTGTAGTACAGCCAGTAGAACATGTGTGCACCTGGACGCACATCCACGTAGCCCCAATCCTGCTCCCCGGGTCCGTAACCGGGCTTTCCTACGATTTGCCATTGATTTAGCAAAAAATTTTACTTGCTACCACTCTTTGGGATAGTGATTAATTTACAACTCTTACCACTCGCCAAAGCGGCGAATAACGCCAGGAATATCACCAGACAAGTCGACATCTTCAACTGAAGAAGTCGAAGTAGCTCTTGGCTTTATTTAAAGGGTAGTGCATTATCAGCAGCAGTTGACATTAGCTTATGTTTTTTAAAAAATAATAATTGCACCTGTCGAACTGGTTCTTTATAGTAATTAGTTCTTAAATAACAAATAGTTGTGCAAGTACTATTTATCATTAACTATCCAATATGACAATATTTTATGAGCGAATATCTACAACAGAAAAAAATAATTGCCGCAAACGAAGAACCATAAATCAAGAGACGAGCAGAGCACAAAACCAAAGTCAACAGTAATAGCTTTATTGTAAAACAAAAGTCTTAATCTAAATTGCAAGTGATAAGGTCATTTAAATTCGATAGAAAACAACAAAGAAAGCTAGCTTGCAGACATCAAGTAGTTTAACTGAATACAAAACGGCTAAACAACCAAAGCTTTAACAATTTTTCTATTAATTTTTCATATTTTCGACTATTGGTCGTATGACAGCTATATGATATAGTCGTCCGATATTAATTAGTAATTCAGCAGTCGTTAGAAAATTCTGTGTTCCAAAAATTATGCTTGTCTGATAAAAAACAACGATGTTAAAATTTTATTTCTGTTATTTCTATATAGATTTTTCGATCTTTCCTATGGCAGCAATACGATAACAATGGTTATTATTCAACGGTTATTAAAAAACTCCATGTTTTGAAAATCGTGCTCGTGGGAATGAAAACAACGATGCGAAAATTTTTTTTCCATTATTTGAATATATATTTTTTTATCTTTCCTATGATAGTTATCCGATTTTGATGAAATTTAATCCGAAATTCAATAGTAGTTAGAAAACGCCACCTGGAAGAAATAAAGTCGATCTGATAAAAAACAGCGGCTTGCAAATTTTTTATTTCATTCTCTCGTATGGGAGCTATCCGATATAGTCGGCCGATCCGGCCCGTTCCGACTTACATATATACTGCGTGCAATAACTACCCACCTTTTGGGAAAGTTTCAGCAAGATAGCTTTAAAACTGAGACACTAGTTTATACATATATGTAGAAACAGACAGGAGGACAGACGGACAGATGTACAGACGTATTTGGATTCTGATCGTGATGCTGGTCAAGAATATATATATGGTATATGATAGAGTTATCCGATTTTGATTTTATCCGAAATTCAATAGTGGTTAGAAATCGCCATCTAGAAGAAATCAAATCAGATAATATAAGTTGAATAGAGAATGATTTTTATATTAGGTGCGCAACTAAATTCTCGCTGTTTTTTGTTGAAAAATACAACTTTATTTTTAAAAATACTATTTAATATATATAATAATACTATTTTATTAACCCAATTTTTTTAAGTACATGAACACAAATAGTTGATATTGAAAGGCAAAACAATACTTTGTTTTATTTATAAGTTATACAATTAATTTGTACACCAAGTTCATCCAAAGTTGGTAAACTTGCGGAGAACGTGACTCATGGCTGCAGGATTGTCGGCCGGAGCCATGTGACCACTTCGGTTGATCCAGAACATAGTGAAGTTGCCGCCCGACTTTTGATAGCCCTCCAGAATGCGGTCCACGGTGATGGCGTTACGAGGGGCAGCCAAGTATTCATCTCTGCGGCTCCAATCCAGCTTGGCAATCCAGTTAACGGTTCCCGGAGTGGCGCAAATCAGATCCAGGCCACCGGAAAATACGCCCACTTTCAGAGGAGTCTTGTCGAGCAATTCATTAACTGAAAACCACACAGCTTGCTATTAAATTCTTCGCCTAAGCTTTTATATTGATCGCTACCTATGTGAATGACGGGCTTCATGAAGTCGGTCCTGTGGATGTCGAAGACTGTGCCACTCTGCGATCCCCAGACGACGTTTGAGGGAATTCCAAGGGTCTCGGCCACTGGTCCCCGCATTAGATCCTTCCGTAACTGAGTGCGGTCCTCGTCGATGTCGTAGTTCACCATGGTGCGATAGAGGCGCTCTGCAGGAGGAAAGTCAGCGTTCTTTTGATCTGTTTAGCTTGAAACAAAAGAGATCATCACCTTCGGCGGACAGGGAAATCTGCCGCTGGTCGAGACCGCCCTTGGTCTCCTTCAGCACGTTGTAGAAGTCGACGCCCTTGGAGGCCTTCATCACCTCCCTCTGGGTGTTGCCCCACTGCTCGGTGGCCTGGAACCAGCGCTCCTCCTCCACCAGCTGAGCCGTAAAGTTCGCCGCCTCCTGGATGGCCTTGTAGCCCGCGTGGTCCACGATGCCCATTTCCCGGAGGAAGGGTCCCCAGGCGAGCACGGAGTCGATGGGTGAGGTCCAGGGACTACCCAGAGCCACCGAAGCGAGGTTGCTCTTCACCTCGCCGCGCTCCTTGGCGTAGTAGAGCTCCAGAGCGAACTCCGGGGCCATCTTGCCGCCGTAGCTCTCGCAGAAGATGTGCAGCGGCACGGTCTTGAATTCAGGGTGGTTCTTGTAGAAGCCCTTCATCAGCTCCACCAGATCCAGGGCGATCTGCTTGTTGGTGGTCGTGTAGTAGGAGGATCCGTCCACGTAGCTGAAGCCAGTGCCCACGGGATTGTCGATGAACAGCACATTCATGTCCTTCACCCAGGTCCAACTGCGCCAATCGCCGTACAGATCGACGGGTCCCAGCTCCTCGAAGTTTCCGTGTCCCGTTGAGGAGGCACCTGGACCTCCTTGCAGCCAAATGACCAGGGGCCGCTCCGTGTAGCTGGAAACATTGGCGGTGGTGTAGTACAGCCAGTAGAACATGTGTGCACCTGGACGCACATCCACGTAGCCCCAATCCTGCTCCCCGGGTCCGTAACCGGGCTTTCCTATGATTGGCCATTGATTTAGCCAAAAATTTTACTTGCTTCCACTCTTTGGGATAGTGATTAATTTACAACTCTTACCACTCGCCAAAGCGGCGAATAACGCCAGGAATATCACCAGACAAGTCGACATCTTCAACTGAAGAAGTCGAAGTAGCTCTTGGCTTTATTTAAAGGGTAGTGCATTATCAGCAGCAGTTGACATTAGCTTATGTTTTTTTAAAAAATAATAATTGCACCTGTCGAACTGGTTCTTTATAGTAATTAGTTCTTAAATAACAAATAGTTGTGCAAGTACTATTTTTTATTAACTATCCAATATGACAACATTTTATGAGCGAATATCTACAACAGAAAAAAATAATTGCCGCAAACGAAGAACCATAAATCAAGAGACGAGCAGAGCACAAAACCAAAGTCAACAGTAATAGCTTTATTGTAAAACAAAAGTCTTAATCTAAATTGCAAGTGATAAGGTCATTTAAATTCGATAGAAAACAACAAAGAAAGCTAGCTTGCAGACATCAAGTAGTTTAACTAAATACATAACGGCTAAACAACCAAAGCTTTAACGATTTTTCTATTAATTTTTCATATTTTCGACTATAAAATTCTGTGTTCCAAAAACTATGCTTGTCTGATAAAAAACAACGATGTTAAAATTTTATTTCTGTTATTTCTATATAGATTTTTTGATCTTTCCTATGACAGCTATATACGCCACCTGAAAGAAATAAAGTCGATCTGATAAAAAACAACGGCGGGAGAATTTTTCTCTCGTATGGGAGCTATCCGATATAGTCGGCCGATCCGGCCCGTTCCGACTTACATATATACTGCGTGCAATAACTACACACCATTTTGGAAAGTTTCAGCAAGATAGCTTTAAAACTGAGACACTAGTTTATATAGAAACAGACAGGAGGGCAGACGGACAGATGTACAGACGTATTTGGATTCTGATCGTGATGCTGGTCAAGAATCTATATACTTTATGGGGTCTGAGTTGTCTCCTTGCCTGCGTTGCAAACTTCTGACTGAAATTATTATACCCTTTGCTCTGCAAGGGTATAAAATATTTAAATGCTTTTTAACGTATGTGGGTGTGTTTGAATAAGTCTGCAACGTTTCAATTTCAATAACAAATTTTATTCTTAGTCATTGGAACGTTTTTCCTTATAAGTACCTTATTTGCATTCATTCTTTGCCTAATTTGTATCTGCAACATACAGGTAAAAGTGGTTTTTATCTGTAAGAAACGTTATACAGTATCTAAATCCCTTTTATAAAAAAAACGATCACCTTGCGGCGTTGCCACATTCAGAAAGTAACAGTAATGTTGTCGCATGCGCAGTTGCACCCTCTCAGATGCACACACACACGCTCCGGCTAGCTGTGTGTCGCTCTCGTTCTAGCTGCCCACGTTGCGCATGCTACTGAGAGAGGGAGAGCGAGAGAGCAGTCTAGTAAAGGCGAGATAAAGCGGCGGCAGCTATTTTCGTATGGGTCGCCGTCTAGTTCACACCGACATCGGAAAATACACAGAGCTCGGTGCACGGCCAGTTGGAAAATTATTATCAGCAAAGCAGCAAATAAAAGCCCGACCAAACAAAAACCGAATTAAGTCAAAGCACACGGAAAGGCCAAAGAAAAGCGAGAAAAGCAATGACGAAATGATTTGAATTCAGTCGGCAGTCAACGCGCATAATCGTAGCCATCGCACACACACTCGAGCAAACGGGCACACACATACACGCGGAGGGTGTAAAGGAGAGAGTGGGCCAAAAGGTGGGTGGGCGAGGGTGACTGGGCGCAGCAGCAGCAACAACAACAGCGTGAAAACAAACGACGATTGCCGTGTAAATTAAACGGAAAAACAATGCGAATACGCGAAAAACGCAAGTTGCAACGAGAAGCAAGGGAGCAGAGAGGGGAAAAGGCTCAGAAGGAACGCAAGGAATTCTCAATAAAGACGGAGGAAAACAAGGAAAAGGTAAGTGCCCACAGTCAAACCTCGCTAAGTGCAAGTCACCATAAAGACACAATGCGATTTTTTTTTCAATTCAATGATCTTTATAAGATACATAGTTTAAACTGAAATTAAATGGATATATTGATTAGGCTTTAGCCACTAACTTCCATAAATTAAGTAGAAACAATTAAAAGCTAAATTAAATTTCAAATGTTTTTATGCATTAAATAAGCTCCTAACAAGCTCCTAAATAGTTCATCCAATACTTTCAAGTATCTAATACATTTCCTGAGGTAACAACCGCTATTATTTCCTCATTTGTTTATTTCATTCACGTTCAGAGTGAGTACTGTAATATTCTTACTAAGGGGTCTGCCCCTCGTTGGTGGTTTGCCTTGCATAATTTCGACTGTATGCGCCATAACACCCGGTCTTAACCCGTCCACTTTTTCTTCGTCCTTAGGCCACCGACACGGAGGCTCTCACACCAGCTCCTGCGCCTGCGCCTGCACCTGCTCCAACAGCAGCGACACCCTCCTCATCCGCACCACCCACTCCCACCCCCAGCCTGCCGGCAGCCGAGAAGGTGGCCTTCGACAACCGCATCAAGCGCAAGAATGTCCTCGCCCTGAACGAAAAGGTGGCCGCCCTGCGGGAGTACGATCGCCTGCCGGTCTACAAGCACGTGGGCCGCCTGTTCAACTGCAGTCCGGATCAGATCAAGCGCATCGTGCAGCAGCGCCAGGAGATCCTGAACGCTTGGGACCAACGGACACGCAGGAGCCAGGATGCCAAGACAATGGAGACGAAGACTGTGCGAGTGTCGATGCTGGGCAAGGCCGTCTATGATTGGATCCGGCGAATGATGTACTACAGGGACTTCAAGATCTCGGACGGGCTCATCCAGAAGATGGCGCTCCAATTCAAGAGCTCGATGGGCCTGGCGCACTTCTTTCCGCACCAGGAGTGGTGCGACAAGTTCCGGCGCACATACAGCATCCACCACGACGACACCAAGGAGCTGAAGATCGGCTACAAGCAGGGCTACTCGGTGCAGATCAAGGACATTATCAAGGACGTCATGTCGGAGTGCATGCCGGAGAGTGGACCGCGCAAAAGGGAGGAGGACGACGAGGAGGTCAGTCTGGGCAGCCCACTGAGCAGCAATCCGCGCAGCTGCGGCGAGGACGAGGACGACGACGTAGACGTGGACGGGGGCGATGTCAGCGGCAGAGAAGATGATCTGGACGAGGAGCCGGATGTGAAGCCCTCTCTGAGCGAGCTGAATCTGGCCAGGGCCCTCCAGCCCTTGCCGCCACTGGTGCGGCTTCCCCTGCAGACCAACGCCCCGCCCGGCACCTCGCAGAAGGTGCTGCTGGCCACGCCAATTGTGCCGCCGCAGGCGGGGGCCAGCCCATGACGATGACCATCATACCGCTGGCCACGCTGGCCCAGAGCATCACCCAGATTCCCTCCCCGCAGCAGTTGCCGCAGGACAAGGGCCCGGTGGTGCCGCCGCCCAAGCTGGAGATCAAGCAGGAGAAGGACATCAAAATGGAGCCCAAGGACCCGGAGGAGTTCCAGACGGAGGTGGACCAATCTCGAAACGAAAACCAAGCTGCAAGGGAGAAGGAGCCAGAAAAAATCATGCCTACAGTGCACGTTAAACAGGAGCCAGAAGCAGAGCTGGAATCGGAAATGGACCAGGAGCCCGCTGATCCCGACGAGGATGCGAACAACGGACGCTCTAGTGTCACCTCGCTGGCCGAGGTCCTGGCCGCCAATGTGGAGGACGAGATGGAGTACATCGAGCAGATGCGCCAGCACAAGATGAGTTCGCCTCCGCCAATCGAAAAGGTTTCGAATCCTCGCCAGAACAACAAGCGGCGACGTGAGTCCCTTCACGACGACAACAACAACGGGGAGTCCGGGCAGGGAAGCGGTTCCAGTGTCATCAGCTGCGCCGATGCCCGCAAGTACCTGAAACTGCTCGAGGAGTTTGCCCTGTACAAGGAGAACTACCGGCTCATTGGCTTGATCACCCGCGCCGACGAGGTGATGCGGGAAATCGACGACGACGGTGTGGCGTAGAGTGCTTCAAAAAAGGAGCATAACGTGGAAATGGAAAAGGAGGATGAGGAACAGCTGCAGCCAAAGAGCATTAGCTATGCAAACTGTCGCATCTCGAAGATGCAGTTCGGTCAGATGAAATCAATCACTAGAGCTAAGAAAACCTTAATTTTTACTCGAACCAAATAAACACAATCAAACCAAATAATTTGAAACAGCTGAAGATTGCAGAAACAATGAAAGATAAGAAAGCGAGTAAGAAATGCATCTGTAAAATTTCAGTTACAACCCAATTATATTGACCTATTTTGTGAGATTTCGCAGATATAGCCGCGTATTCACGGTCAGCAAAAAATCGGATAAATATACGCTTGGTTGTTTTGTTGCGACAGCGCATGTCTGCCCTTAGTTCAGGTTCTTGCATTGCCGGGCGGGAGGTCACCCTCTCTCACACACGCACAGAAAGAGAGAAACTTTCCGAGAGATGTAACGGAGCATGAGTTCAATCATTAAATTCAATCTTATTTGGGCGAGAGAATTTCCCAAGTACATGCGAGTATTTTTGGAACTTTTCCGCGTTCAGCGCACATCTGAAAGACAATTTATTTATACCTTTGGATTTAGCTAACTAGCAAAGGCCAACAATCTTGATTGTGTAAAAACAAGCAAGTGCGCATGTCTGCCCTTAGTTTAGTTTTGAATTTTTGTTATTGCTTTTTCCACTCTCTCTTTATTTCCTCTCTTTTTTCCGCTCGCACACACGTGCATGAAATTTGCGGGGGAGTTGAAGCTCTTTGTTTAAAAATACCAATTTACAAGGCTTAATTATTAAGAGAAATGTAAAACAAAATATACTGATTAAATTATTTGTCAAATGCATTTGCAGACCCCGTTACCTAATCATAAATGTCAAAAAATGAAGTGATTTATTGCGCATTTCCACACGCATACATAGAGCCACCAGCCGACTAATCAATCACTCAATCGAGGCACACACACACTGGTCATTTGGTTCTACATCAATTCAGTTCGTGATTGGAGCTTGGGGAGAACATACACAAAGCAATAACGCCGGTCGTCAGGTGGTGGAAATTTACACTCGGATTCCAAACAGTACCAACAACAATCAGAGGCAGTAACCAAGGCGTTTTCCAACACTCTATCAGTTGGGCAACTCTGGTCGACTTGTAAACAACAACAGCTGATTGAGGTAAACAAAAAAGGTAAATATTTATGTTTAGTTTTGAGGCACTAGTCAATATATATTTCCCTAGATGGCAGTTGCCCTGCCGGATCGCTTTAGTGCCGGTAAACGACAGTTCTGGCGTGAGTTTCTAGCTCTTTATCAAGGAATGCCGGAGTTGTGGGATGTTCACAACTTAAAGTATCGGAACAAGGAGTTGCGGAACCAAGCCTACGAACTACTGGAAAGAAAACTCCGGGAGATCCAGCCTAATGCCACACGGGCTGAAGTTAAACGAAGGATCAACATATTTCGCACAAATTACAGGCGGGAACAGATGCGAATTCTTAAGCAGAAGGAGCTGGGCCTGCACTCGGACCTTTGTAAACCCACTCTGTGGTTCTATGACTACATGGGCTTCCTCCTCACCCAGGAGACCTTCCAGCACAGGACTAGAAAAGGAAGAAGGGGAGCCAGACAGAAAGCGGTATTTTGCCTGGAAAAAATGGTGAGTTAGGTGCTTTTGTAGAACATTCTTACCTACATCAATTATTTATGTTTTAATATCCCCTAGGACACATACAACGCACCAAACACAGATCTAAAACCCGGAAGCGTTTATGACTGTGGACTTGTGGATTCGGATTACCCAGCCAAGCCAAATGCCCCACAACACGACGAGTGTTCCCTGCTCAGTCCAAAGGTGGAGATTATAGAGCCTGAGGACGAGAGCCCGCGTAGTGGAATGGGGCATCCTGATCTCCTCGAGAAACCCAATATAGTTCATAGTGCGGAGAGTATAGAACCCGACTGCTCAATGCAACCAGAGCGCGAAAACGGGCAGGAATCGGGAAATATTGCTCTCAGCGAGTCCTCCGAGGTGCTGGCCAAATCCTGGGCCATTCAGTACGAAGAGATGGCCCCCACGCAACGCATCCTGGCCAGAAAAGCCATTGCGGACATCCTGTTCGAGGGCTGCATGGGCAACTTGCGGATAAACCGCGGCGATAACGGAAGCACTGTGGGAAATCACTTGTAATATTTAATTGGTTAGTTCTAAGTAAAAGGAGATAATTGTGTTCTCTGTTTAAAGTTTTTAATTTAAATCGAAAAAATGTTTAATTTAAAGAACATAATTTTTGCCATATTATAACAATTCAGGCCAATTCTAAATACAAAGAAAATAATCGAACACTCAATATCTTTTCAATTTTTAAATTCTCCGCCAAACATGGACAGTGTTGGAAATCGGTCAGCAGAGGCAAGAACCATACAGTAACGATACATACAAATAATAACATTTAACTACACAAGCACGCAAGGCGGGTTCTTTTCAGAGTTCTCGGCACAAAAACCCTCCACAAAAATAACCCCTCAAATATTTTTATAGTTTTTCTAAGATTTGATGTTCCCGGTTTTAGTCGTTTTTTATTATCCATCGTGTTATCGTGAAAATTCCTATGGTTGTCGTTCGTGCTGTAAAAAAAACAGTCACGCACCCATCTCTAAAATTGTTTTAAAGTTCGGAAGGATAAAATATGATGTTTTTTGATTCTACCTGACTTTTGCAATGTCCTACGCATGCGTAACTCCTCGCAAGTCAATTGCGCCTTGGCTCCGGAGGAATAACAACATTACCAGGACAGCTACATCAAGAGATTTATGGTAAAAGAATTGAATTTATTATGCGAAGATCTAGCATTATACTCACTACTCTTATACAGGTACCTGTAAGCATAGTAAAACATAGTGTTCAAGGCTACATTGCGTACATCCATTAGATTCATTGATCTTTGTTTGAATTGTTTTACGCGAAACTGCAACTCTCTGTAAGTAAAACTAGTTAGTGTACTCAATATTATCAAACGACCACTGATCAAATCCATGTTTGTCAATTTGTAGTGAGTGAGATTGAACCAGACATTTCCCTCTATCACGAAATACGGTCAACCGATCAATGATGCAGAAGTGCAGCGAGCTAGGAAAGAATACCATGTGAGTGCTAATGACCTATTAATTGCAGACTTCTCTATAAAAGCAAACTAACTCTTTATTGCAGGGCCTGGCAGCACCTTCTTCGCCTTGGCCATAAAAAGCTGAGGGTAAAGAAGGGTCCATACGGCCACTTTTTAGACACCACATGTCGAGATGAGCTGCAGTCCTCCCTACCTGCGGACTCCTTCGACGAACTCATGGTATGGGTTGACAAATGGCTCACTCGACTGGACGAGAAGGACAGAGTGGTGCGGCTAAAGGTGAATTCCCATCAGCATCCGAAGGACACAATATCCGTCGATTCTGATGAAGAGGCCGAAAAGACAAGGCCGACAAGAAAACCAGCGGACTCAGCTGTCGTGGACCTTTGCAGCGATGAAGAAGATGAGGCGAAGATGGAGCAGGATTCCTTTGACACCGAATCAGTTATCTCCACCTCCTCACTTGTTCTCCTCGATGATGAACTGGGCGAGATTAACTTAAAGGACTATTCGGATCACGTCGATGGCAAACTGGATGCAGACACTATAAAAAAGCGGAAGCTAAGGGAGCAGGAACAGACCTCATTCAGGGCCAACAAACAGACCACGATGAAGAAATTCTTGACCCCCAAGAAGTCGTCCAGGAGCTTTGCGAAAACGAATAGCAGAAAATCAAGGTCTCTTATAATTGGAAAGGAAAAGGTAGTGACAAAGGCCAATGGAAAGCGAGGTACCTTGATACTTCGAGAACTTAATTTTGAGGAAGAAACCGATTCGAATAAGGAGGAATCTATGGAAGATTCGGATTCGGGCCAACAAGTCATTGATAAACTGAGCCCAGGGGAAAATGTTCAATCTCTGACAGAAGGGAAATCGAAACCCAAGACTTTGGAAAATGATAGCAGCAAACCAAAATCTCCAATAGCCAGAGAGCACTCCCAAGATGCTATTAAAAAAAAGGAATCTAAGCCCAATGCCATGGCAAAAAAGAATCTTCCCCATGTGATAAACTAACATACCAAGAAATTAAACCCAAATCAACACCTGATGTTCTAAAAAATACAGAGCAAAACGGAGACACCAAAGAAAATAGTAAACCAAATAAATCCATTGAAACGACTGTTGAGAAAAAAGAGACAATTCTGTCAAAAACCGAAGGACAAACCACAATTATAAAAATAAGCGGTTCCCAAAGAGTTAAAATCACGCCGATACGAAAGGAAGCTCTAACAACAACGGAACAACCTTCCAAATGCCACATCACCCCAAAACCAAATTCCCCGGGAGTTCAGGAACGCATTATCCATGTACCAACCGAATTGATTCGGGATGTAATACGCGTTCGTACCGATCTACTAGCTTCTGCTGAACCTCTAAACCAAGCAGTCGCTCAAGTTGATGGGATTCCACCGGCGGATATTCCTGCGGGATCAGCAGAGAAGCGAAAACTCACGCCGGAACCCGCAGTAAATCAAGCCAGGTCGTCTTCGGAAGACCTGCATGCGCAGCCGAAAAGGCCAGCGCAGGATACAAGTATTCCTGCTGCAGTTCCGACATCCAGATGCCCAGTGAATATATCTGCTGCACCATCTTGCACCTTCAGTTATCCGAATAACATCCCTGCAATTGCTGCTCCAGTTGCCTCCTCCAATTGTCAACCAATGGCCAGTTGCCAACCTAGATCAAATTTGGGATACTCAACTGGATATTCCGCAGAAGGTTTAACTGCTGGTGCTGGTCCACCTGCCAACGTTAGTTATCGACCAATTTTGCCCATAGCCAATGGATCAGCCAGCAATTTCACGTACTCAACACCCAGGTATTCGGTGGCTCCAGCACCTTCTGCCTCCGCCAGTTATCAGCCGGTGGTGTCAGCGGTTCCAGCTTCCGTCAGATATCCTCCATCTATATCTGTGGCTCCCGCCTCCATTTATCAATCAAATCATCCCGTGGCCAGCTCCAATTCTCAAGGACCTCAAGTCACCAGCTCCAATTACCAATCTGTTATGCCTGCGGCTCCAGCATCAGGGTACTCCAGGTACCCACCGCCCATCTCTGCACCGTCTTCAGCGATTCGGCCTCCCATTCATCAACCAAGCTATGCTCCAGCTCCCTTAGTGATAAGAATAAGAACACCCTTAAGTCGACCACCAAGTATCCCTGTGGCTCCAGCTCCTGCAGTACCCGTCAGTAACCAACCCACCGGACGCGATCCAAGAGCCGATTTGGCCAACATCTTGGGCATGCTGGCCCAGGTCGAGCTCTTTGCCTATTGTCAAAAGAATCAGGAGGCCTTCCACCTTGCCAATCAGCTAAAAATAAGCCTTCAGAGAGGAGCGGTGAATAATTCTCAAGCACCGTCCCAAAACGGTTAGATTTAAACTATATATAAACTCACTTTAATGTTATGAAAACATTTAATTAAGTGGCCCTAAGTTCTTATTTTTTAAATTGCTTTGAAGCACTTAGCTTATTTATCAAGAAGTAAAGCAATATCAAAAATTATTGATATGTTACTTCCTTATTATTATTTCTATTTTTTGTAACCTGCCTTATATACAATACAACAGATGAACTGTTAAAATTCGTAAAAAATAATAAAAAATTAACAAATGATGTAATTTGTTTGAGAATTAAGACTATAAGAGGTATGGCACTTCAAAATCAGACTAAAACTAGAAAAGTTGAAGACTTAGAACTGGTGAAATTTGGTCAATTTTAAGCCAACCCATTTTTTGGAAATGGAAGAGGGTTACTTACATCATAAAAATTAAAAAAAATCGGTCAAAAAATAAAAAATTTACTAGTGATAACTAATATAATATAATCCTCATCTTAAAAAGTGATAACTAATGTATTCTTTTTGTAATCTTATTTCAGGTTAGCCTTTGGCGAACAGGTCTCCCCGACTCATCCCGGGAATTCCCATGCCACCCGCGACCCCCTCCGCGACTCCGCGCTACCCGTCCGGCCTCTCGCCCCGCAGCGGACTATTCGAGCGGCTGGGCGCCATGCAGCGTCCGCCCTTCAGTTGCTGCCATGCATTTTGGGATGGATTTTAAGTTAGTGCAGTAAAAAAAGAAACGGAATATATGTATAACTATATGTATATATTATTATTAATTGACTAGACATCTAAGACTTACAAGACATGGATTGTCCTAAAAATGTACAGTATTAGTATAAGTCTAAGGAATACATAGTTGAATTATGAATTATGAATAAATAAATAAAATAAAACTATGGAAATTGTAGCATACTTTTGGGGGCAAGTAAACAAAACGCAGTGTAGCTCTTGCTTATTTTTTATAGCATACTTTTGCGGGCAATTTGAAAATATTAAAAAAAAAAGATTAACCGCCTACTATTGCATTCTGTTCGCCTGGTACTTCAAAATGAGGTTTGGTTGAATATGTGCGTATTGGCGGAACGATTTCGAAGGGACAAATTGGAATTTTAGGATTTAAAATACCAGGCCAACAGAAGTCATTAGTAGGCGATTTGTTGGCTGTGCAATTTTACTGAAAAAATATGTAGCATACTTTTGGGAACAATTAAAATTTTAATTTTTGCAATTTTCATTAAAAAGTGTAGCATACTTTTGGGGGCAAGTAAAATACAAAAATTAAAACTTGGCTACCTGCTATGGCATTCTGTTCGCCTGGTACTTCAAAATTGGTTTGGCCTAAAAATTGTGGATTTGGCTGATCGAATGGCGAATACTAAATTTCCTTTTTGGCACTGAAATACTTAAATATACCCCTGTTTCCCAAAAAACAAAAAGATACATAATTTGTTTAATAAAATAATATGAAATTTAATAAAATATTAGCAATAGTATCTAACATAATAAAAACACTAATACAAAGTATAAAAATTAGGAAATAAAGCTGGTGTTATTACTGCATTTCGTTCGCCTGTACTCCACGCCTTGGAAACTGCCTTCTGTTCTCGTAGGTCAGTGGTTGAAATACAATAGTAAATGTATTTATTTATTATGAAAACTCACCCGTTCTAGTTCCTTGAGCGAGGCAGGGGACACATTCGAGAGGCGCCTCGCCAAACTTTCTTTTTGGCACTGCAATTTGTAGGACTTACATTTGAAATTTTCCATATGACAGTTTTATGATACAGTCTTGCACCCGATTACTATAGTTTTGACCGCTCCTGTGCCGCCTTCAATTCAGCTAGACGACTACAGGGAAGCATTCAAATCACTGGGAGATGCCGATTGGGGCTGGTTCTGCTGGCTGCTTGCTGGTGGCTGGTGGCTGTGAGCTGTTGTAGCACTTTGCACCTGTCGTCCGCCCAACGCAAGTGAAAACTCAAGCGCAGCTTTAATTGATACAACAGCCGCAGTGGGCCGGGGTGCTGGGAACCCAGTTCTGGGTGCGATGGGCTGCAGTTGCAGTTGCAGTTGCACGTGTTGCCCGCAAACTAGTCGCGGCAAAAATGCTGTAAGAAATGCAAGGCAGCTGCCGCTAAAAAGTGGGGGGCTTCCTAGTTGCCAAGGCTCAGAGAAAAGCTCCCTTCGAGGGGCCAGGTCCTAAATGGGCATTGAAATTAAATGCAGCTGCTTTAATGACGCTGCAGCTTGCCGGCTTGGCCTCAGATTCAGAGATGACTAGTTGGCATTTTATGGGAGTTATCTGGTATTAAATCTGTGCTCCGATGTTAAGAACTTTTAGTACTCTAAGAGAATGCTTAGTTTTTCGACACAGGCATCACCGATGTGCTAGGATGCGATGGGCGAGGGCGCATATCCAATAGCCTGGTCAAATCTGTGAATATGCAACAAACGCTGCTCCAGTGGGCGTGTTGGGGGCGTGGCAGTGCAACCATGGAGTGAAATACCCGCGGTGGTCGCCGATTTCGATTCCGTCGGCTTGGTGGGCGCCAGCAATCTGCAACAGCAACAGCAACATCGACATCAACGGCAACAATCTGCAGCAGCAACTGCAACACAAACAATCTGCAACACGGCGCCTTTGCCTTTTTGGGACATTTAATGGGAGTTGCCGTTGCCTTTTTTGGTGCAACGAAATCAAGCAACAAAAATCTTTTTATCGCTCGGGCTCCATTCCACTTCCCCCAGATGATGATGATATCGTTTGTTTGTTTGCTGGCCGGATTGTTGGTTTCTTCGCCAGCAGCTGCGACTTGCAACTGGGAAATAAACGCTTTCCGAAGTGCCTAGTTCGGCGAAAGGAGCAGCATTTAGCCTTAACTGCGCTCCAAATGATCGCAATTTGGCCGAAACCAGAGCTCAGCCCCCTTTGAACGGTTCGATTATGAGCAACACACGATCTTTTCCGATTCTGTTTGGATCAAAATCAAATAGGCTTGATGAGTACTTGGCGGGAATCAATTCCACTCAAACTTAAAGAAGAGGTTTAACTTAAATTAGTAACAAAAGTTCGCAATGAGCAAGCATTCGCATCGTATTTAATTTTCTCTTTCTATTTTGCAAAATGCAGCTGGAACAACAGACGTAAAGCTCATTTAATGTGTGTTCCCAGACAGCCTTTTGTAGGGCCCAAATGTGTGTTAACAGTTGAACAATAACAAATTGCAGTTCCCACGCAGCTCGGCACGCGTCGCAGGAAACCACCCCGAAATCAGGAGCGCATCCAGCGGATTGCAGGTGCGGGTACGAGGCGATATAGACGATATGGTGTCATATGGGGTGGGTAGCCCATTCGATCCGCGGAGTTATCAGGGCTCTGGACAGTCTGTTGCTTCTCAGCCGTCGCGAGAATTGGGAATCGAGAGAGTCACACGAGAACCGAAACAGTTGCTCAGTTGTTCAGGGAACGGGAATGGGAATGGGAATGGGAATCCGGAGAAAAACCCTTCAAAGTGAGGGTGGGATTCCCGTGTCGTGTGAACTTTGGCGGGGAATCATCGGCGGGCTAATGAGAGTCGCCCGAGTTCGGGAACCAAGGAACCTGTGCAGCGATTTAAATTAAGTTGCAGCGACTCTTCTGCGGAGGTGTGTCTGGCATAATGTGGGAAACAAGGCCAGAATGCGAGGTGGATCGGGATGGGAGAAATACCACCGATTTTTGGCCTCTTCGCGAGCTTCTTTGGCCTGCTTCTTGGCCAGCAATTACATGATCAAAAATTCTCCTCGCATTTTTGCCGCGCTCAGCATTCAGCGTTCAGCTCCGAAATATCTCAGGTGCTTTTCGCATGACCGAAGTGTGGGACTGAGAACCGAACCGGACACCTATACCCACATATTGGCTATCCTGCGTGCATCTTAATGAATTGCCGGCCATTTGGGGCCGCGCTGCTAAACGGGCATTACCTATTAAGCCCGGCCCATAAGCCCCATAAAGGTTGACAAGAGCAGCTGGAAATTCAGAAATCCACAGCCCGAATTTCGGTTTCGACCCCAATGGAGCGTTAATGATGGACGAACCGAAAAAAGGATACGGCGCCTTTGATTCTCGCCATATTTTCTGCTCTGCATGGCTTTTGATTATTCTTTTCTTTTCCTTTTGTTTTTTTTTTTTTGTGGCCGAAACTTTTATGATCGAGTGAGCAAGCCGAAAAGTTGGCTTTTCGGCGACACCTTTTAAGCGCGCCAATCGAATCAATGTTTTAACACGAGAATACCATTTGCGAAACGAGCTAATTAACGACTGCCGAAATAATAAAAAAAGCACAAACTTTTATAAAAGGACGGGCCAAAATTCTACGAATGCCCCTGGCAGCTGCAAACGGAGAATTCGGCAAACGGAATTCATATTCGTTTGATTCCATTCGCCATTTCGCCATCCTGCGAAAGTGAAACCGCAGCAGGTGATCGTCATCGTTTTTTGCCAACAAGTTTTGGGAATTTGAAAATCTCTGCGCTAATTACCGACGACTGGAATCGGGGACAGGCAGCTGCCTGGGAATCGGAATCCGAGTCGGATTCGGAATCGGGATCGGGACTGGAATTGAAGTTGGGAACGAAACCGGGACCTTGTTGCCTAATTGAACCCATCAATTTGGAGTTAATGAAGTGGCAGCCGGTCCAGAAAATGTCGCAGCGCGTTTTCAGCTCCAGCGAAGCTGCAATTCATGAGGCATCTCTCTTTTTCGGCCCCGATAACGGGGCATAAAACACATTCGCCGTCGGAGAGCTTCCTGTACAGCAGCCACTGGCTACCGGCTACCGTGGCAGCCGTTTAATTAGCGGGTTAATTGGCCGTGAGGCGTCGCCATCCCCAGCTGCATCCTCCCATGTGCATCTCCAGTCGCAGCTCTTCGATTTGGCAACTTCATTAATAACAGAGATAGCCAGGTTTTCCCTGAGTCAGCTGCCGTTTGTCATAGACGCAGGAGCACAGAGAGAAATTTCACCTTCTGCGGATTCAAAACATATTATGTGAGGTTTTGAATGTAAAAACTAATCAATACTAAATCAATAGATTAGAAGCGTTTACTAATCTTGTTGGTGAAACTATTATAACTTGATGGAAGATAACGTTTTTCTGCGTGCAGGCGGAACCTGAAGTCAAAGTTAGGAGCTAGTTGTCTGGGAGGAGAGCCTCTATCGATGCGGCTGTGACAAATGATATGTTGACAACAGCCAACTGGCGGTTGCAAAAGTTTGACTTTTGCTTATCGTCGAGGTGCGAGATATTATACGTAAATATTTTCGCATGAGGAGGAGGATGGAGCCCCATCTGACGCAGCTTTATTTGCGAAATCACTCGTTTACGATGATCATTTACCGCCTGGCAATTACTCATTGTTATCAGCTCCGAAGAGGGGATCTTTATGCGGTGAAGCTCTTCTGGTAGCCGTGTTCACCACAGATCATCGATCATCATTGGGTAGCGATATCAGTTAAGTGGAATGACAATCCTTAAATGAGTACGAAAGCGGCAGGTGTGGAATCTTATGAGTGATCTC